TGTGTGTGTGTGTGTGTGTGTGTGTGTGTGTGTGTGTGTGTGTGTGTTTGTGTGTGGCAGTGGAGAAGCTTTGAGGGTGCTTTTTGATTCATTGATTTGTAAATATGTTTTCATAAGGTTTTTGATAATGTATTATACAATTATGTAAAAGAAAAGATGTACATAAGATTTTAGATAAAGTCTTGACATGTATATTAATTTATTTGTATAAAAGCAGAACACTGCATTCCCTGATTGTAAGAAATCTGAATTATCCACCAAAGTGGTTTGTGTCGTTTCTTGCTGTGCACCATTTAGCATCTTTTTTTGTGTGCAACCCTGTTTCTTTCGTCAGCACACGTAAAACACGGTGTCCCCTTATCCCAAAAACCTCCCACATCTTTTTCAACCTTGGTGTTAATGAGAAGAGTGATTTTTGTTTAATTGTGCCTTTTTGTTTACTTTCTCATTCTCCTGTAGTATTTTTTCATGAAAAGGACAGGGATCAGCCAACTACTGTACATGCAAAGATGAACTGTATGAAGACCAAACTGGTTCCACTTTTTGATTTTCTGTAATGGATTACTTTGGAATATCTCTATATATTGATATATAAAATCTGACTGAAAATTTCCTTAACGTGTGACGTTTCATTTTCTTATATCACAGACCTGCACCGGCAACAGCCGTCTCCTCTGTGTTTTCGTGTTGTCCGTCCGTCCGTCCTTACCATTCTTGTAAATGTGCTATCTCAGGAACACCTGGAGGGAATTTCTTCGAATCAGGCACAAACCACCTCGACTCAAGGATAAGCTGATTAAGAATTTGCTGAAGCGATGACATTTTGGAAAGACATGGATGTAAACTGATTCTAATAATTCTAGTATTTATATTAACAATGGGTCAAATGTGAAAGGTGTTGCTCATTGTGACAAACTATTCCTCAACTCTGCAGTTCCCCTCAGCTCTATGGAGTTTTTAAAGCTGGTTTTGGTTTCCAGGATCCACAAATTGAATGTTTGGTTCAGTGTCACCACTTCCCGTTTTTAGATTTCTTTAGCCGTTTTCAGCAAAGAAGCTCTGATAAACAAAATGTAAGCACCCTGCTCAGCACCAAATGGCAGACAGACAAAGCTAGCCACTATCTAGTGAACATAGATGAGCATTAGAAGCTCAAGAGCCAGGTAATTCCCTCAGGATTTTGTCAGGACCAAAAACAAAGCTAAGTGTGCGTGAATATTGGAGTTACATTTGGTCTCCCTAAATGAATGCTAATATTTCTACACGTCTGCTGGATTTGCAAACGGGCAATTGTTTGCCATCGCTTAAGCTATGTCAACCATCCTTGTTAAATGTCAAATGTGTGTGATTTTCAGCTTGTTGTGTGACTTGCTAACATACAAGTAGAGCCATCTGAATGATTGTCTTTGTTCTTTACAGCAGTATCTGATTAAGTTTGATACCTGGCCGTGAGACTGGAGCAGCAAAGCTTTAAATGTATTGAAATGTGCAAGGTCTGTTTTTATTGCTTATGATTTCAGGTTTTGCTTTTCGTGTTAAAACCGATAAGAAGCTGCTCCCACAGTATGTTCAGAGTCCATTCTGCCTGAGCTGCTTTTCACATTCATCCACTTACAAAGTGATTCATCAGCAGGCAGAGAACCCGTTGTAGATAAATCCAGTCCATTATCGTTATTAAACTGAAGCAGGGTCAATGCCTACAAACTCTTCCTTGTTGAACCACTCCCATTAGGATATGGTGTAATACCTATTTTGTATTTTCCAGTGGTTCCTGCAGCAGTATAACCACAAAGGCAAAGATGAACACCAATTCTTCACTGTGGCACGAAAGCCTGTTTGGGATGGGGGTGGCGTATTTACACGTATACATCTGTGGAATAGGCACGTGGTCTAAACATGAAAAAATATTGTCCAAAATGCTTAAATCATAGTTCATCTATGAACACTGATACTCTGTTCAGACCAATACTGATTGCCATACAAGCAGCTGATTGAATCTCTCTCTCTCTCTTTCTGAGGATATATATCTTTGCTATATACATTTGCTCAGAGTCATTACAGCACCAGGACAGACAGTCAGTCAGCCGAGCTGGAAAAAAATCCTCGGGGGGAGATGAGGTGGCTTTGCTCTGTCAAGACAGAAATCCAGCTTCCTCCCCTGTCTCCAAACTCAATCCTTTTTGTCTTATCTCACGAACATACTCTCAAGTCCTTGCAGCAAAACTAAACCTCTGTCCCTTACTGATTCCCAGGGGGTTAGAATAACAAAGGCCACACAAACACATCTGCTTTCACGCTTCAACGGGCCATACCGGCTGCCATCCAGTCGGATTGCAGGTGAATCTCATTGTGTCCTCTCTCTGAGTGGAAATTGTACAATTCGGTAGATGTCATATTTATAATTGTCTCTCACACTTGAACGGGATTAGATCTAATCCCCTGGATATGCTCATTTTAGAATTCCAGGTTTATGTACACCGTTGCTTTCTGTGTGTGATTTGGCTGGCTGAAGCGAAAGTGACATAAAGGGGCGATGCCACCTGCTGGTCAGGTTCGTCATTGCAGCAACAAAGATCAGCAGCTCAGTCAGAATCAGCTTTATTGGCCATGCAGGCGTTTACATACAAGGAATTTGACTCCGGTTTCTCCGTTACTCTCAAAGTAGCAGCTCAGCCAAGCACAGTTGCCTTTTTAAACATTTTATTAAAAAAGGCATTTTACACATCTATTAGTGAGTAAAATCAACAGGTTGGTTTATCGGCACTTTCTTTTATGTGCCTGTCAAGCAGCATGGGCATTTAGCTTTTCTTTGTATATTTTACACTCAGTTAAAAAAAAATAAAATTTCTACAAGAATGGAAAAAGCAATCTTTGATTTTCTAAAAACATCAAACACAGACCTTCTGATAATTGTCAACATATCCATATGACCAATACAATACACATTCCATAATAAATATGTTTTTAATTGCATAGTTTGCAAAGCTAAGCTTCTACTTGGATGGGCACGGATCAGACATAACTGATGTATTTACATCAACAGCAAAGACAACAGAAAACAACACGTTTATTGTACACTGCATCAGCATTCATGACACAGCTAAGCTTTACCTCCCTCATTGATGGCGTTGAGTCTTGTTAGAACGATGTCCTCCAATCCAAAGCTCAAGCTAATGCTCGTGCAGAATGTCAGAAATCAGAAACAATATGCGAGCAACAGTTCAACCCAAGCACAAAGCGTCAGGATTTAACTGGGTTTCAAAGTGCATCAGACAGAAAGGAGCAAACTTGAGAGAATCATATGTCTGCAGATTGTTTTCCAGTACTACAAAGCTCGAGCTTTAGCGTGGGCCTGCAGGAGGGTGGCAGTATCAGTGTGGGAACCTTGCATGGCGATAGAGAGTGCAGTTTGACCACGCTGGGGGACAAACACAGAGAAAAACAGGAAAGATACAAATATTAAATTCTGAACCCATATTAAATCAGACAGTGTACACAGGCTTATTAAAAAACACATGTTATACAGTATGCAAATGCTAACAGGCTTAAATTGTTGTTCACGGTAGACATATCTGCTAAACCTCATCGTTGTCATTATCATGATGATGTTAGCATTAGCGCAAAGCACCACTGGAGCTCACAGATCTGCTAGCATGGCTGTAGACTCTTATTATTGCTTTATGTGAATAGTTGCCTCAAGGTGCAGAATTTCGGCTCCCAGAAGACAGATTAAATAACAAACGATGTGCAAGGCTGCATTTCCTGTCCTTAAGATAAATGTGTTAATGTGTAATTTCATCAGACTTTAATTAGTTTAATTAATCTGGGTTTGTGTCAAGGTGAAACATGACTTAGAGTCGAGATAGGACGCCTGTGGTTGAAGGTCTTTTTTCTCTCTTGTAAACTCTACTTAAAATGCAGACTGTGTCAAAAGTAGGAGACACATTTGCATCCTCTCCTCCGCTCTCTCCCCTGCCTTCACTCGCTCCAGACTGGCAGATAAGGTACTGTTAGCGGATTAGCTCATCTCAACCCAGGGAGATTTGTTTTACTGTAGCCCTGATTAATCCTGGGAAAGCTCTATTCAGATGCAGAATGTCAGTCCACCCACGTCCACACAGCGCGAGTCAAAACATTCAAGCTTCCCTACGTCTAAGTTCCTTTTTGTGTTCAGTTATATGAATAGAAAAGTGGATCTGCTTTTTTGTTAACAAATAAAACAGGATTTCACAAGAGAAATGGAGTTGGAGTCATCACATGAACTCTATATCTCTGAAATTTAATTTAATGGCGTTGCTGCCTTTAAAAATGTTCTCTTTCTGCGGATTTCGTGTAACTGTGATCCCTTTTGTATTATGACCATAAACAACTAATACCACAGATAAGACAACCTGCATCTCACACTTTAGGCAGGCATAGGATTAGAGGAATATATTGGAGGAAAGTTGTTTGTGCTTTTTTTTGCAGTATCACCTTGTCAGTCAGGGTGAGGTCACAAAGGCTCCTCTCCAGCAGCAGCCTTGCGACGTGTGTGTGGCCCCTCTCAGATGCGAACATCAGGGCCGTTGTTCCCTGGCTGTCCTGGAGGTTAGCGTCTGCTCCACAGCTCAGGAGCAGGCGAACCATCACAACTCGCCCATGTCTCACCGCCAAGTGCAGAGCTGTTTGTCCCGTCTGTGTAGAGGGAGAGAGACAACAGGACAGAGACAGAACATTTTAATTCAGAGATTACAAAAAAACACTATTTATCTGTACTACTATACACATTAGTTAGATACTGTTCATCTAACATGTCAGAGTTTAACACATGTTGCCTTTTGAGGTTCAGTGTCCTGCTGAAGCACTTTAATCAAGTTTGGAAAGTCATAAGACACATTTTTTTAAATAATTGAAGCAGCAGATGCCAAGATATCCTCGTCTCTAGTGTGGGTCAAGTTTCAGAAACAATGTGTCCTACATTTCCCATAATGCATCTTAGTTGTGTCCCTCCAGTTCTGAAAAGTGAAGCCAATGAGGAAGTGCCTTAAACTTCCATTCTTTCTGAAAGCCAGCAGGTAGCAATTCTTCTGAGAAAATGACCGTACTTCTCACTTTTATGGTCTCAATCGCCTCAAATCTTCTTCAACACAGCATGATGTTCATTTAGTAAATTATGGTCCCATTGAGAGTAAAATATATGATAAAGCAGCATATGCTTTAGGGCGCGGCTACCATGTAAATAACAGGTCATTACCAAGATGTAGTCTGGACTGGTGGTTGTCCGCGTTTTTGTCTTAGAATTTTAACCCTTTAACTGTGTTTGTGAAAGTTAATTGTGAGCTTTTTGGTTGCTTATAAATGTCTTATTCAGCATTTGGTTGAACTTAGCGCCACCCTCTCGTGTCACTACAGGTAGAAAAAAGACAAGATGGCGACGCCCAAAATGCCAATCTCTGGCCTTCAAAACGGCAGCCCACAAACCAATTGATGACATCATTTTGACTACTTATTATTTACGGTCTATGATTTTAACAGACTTTGATGAAAATTTGAATTGTCTTAAGCCGATTGATGACATCATCAGGGTTACAATATTTTCTCAGACTTTTAAAAGCTCCCTTCAGAGAGAAATAACAAATCATACATAATACGTAAGAACTATTTTGTTCTTTATCACAAATAACCTGATTTTTGTGTTTTAAATCAGTGGGATGACCCTTTAATATTGTGTGTGATTAAATTAAATCTTCCATTTACATCTAAAACAGCCTGCACAGAATGCTGGGAGTAAAACTAGTCCACTAAAGTCCACTCTTTACCTAATGAAAATGACCCATGTTACATTGAAGCTGTGTTTGCATTGGATGGTTTGTACCTGGCTGGAGCGAATGTTAATGTTGCTCTGCTCCATTAGCTTGCGGACCACCTCCATGCCACCTGGACCATCCGGCGCTGTTAGTGAGGCCAGCATCACTGGTGTGTAGCCGGCATTGTTCTGAAGGCTCACATCACTCACACCTGTAAAACAAAGAAAAAAGTAACTTTCCCAATATGTACAAACCAGCTATATCTTTGTACACTAGCTCTGGCAACACACTGCTATTACCTGTGTCCAGTATGTGGCTGACGATGCTGTAGTTGCAGTGGGACACGCTGTAATGCAGCGCTGTGTTGCCGTTGTCATCAGCCAGGTTGATCAAGAAGGCCAACAGTGAAGGCGTGGCCTTCTTCACTTCTCTCAGGTACACTGCCACCCTGCTGGCCGCTGAAGTCTCCTCGGCCGCCGCGCTGAACCAGTGCTGAAACAACACAACCAGGGCCCTTTTCTGGAAAAAGAGAGGGGAATATGGGAAGGATATAAATTTGGGATGAATTTTCTGAGGGATTTGGCCAACACAGTGTATACTACATGTTGAAATATAAAATATAATTTACCTCAAAGCTGTTTTGTTGTTTGTTTGCATGGAAAACCAAGATATCACGAAACAACATGTCCTATTGTCAATAGTGATACATCCAACAGATACAGTAATGTTAGGAATCATAACCATATTTTCATGAGTGTATAGTGGAATTATGAATCGTTTTGTTGTGCTTTAGTTACCTTAGAATGAGCCTTTTATATCTACATACAGAGCGTGTCCTCTTCATGGAGTCTATGGTGCACCGCCATATTTCTACAGTAACCCAGAACGGACAAACCAAACACTGGCTCTAGAGAGGGCCTTTTGCGATACACGTTACCCTTAGATTCCCAAACACGTTTGGAAAGTGAGGGTCGATGCCACCAAATCCTACACATTGCTTCTTCAAAACTCTGTTTTTGTCTCTACCAGCAAATATCGGCTCTTTAACTGCTAAATGCTCCACTGTGTTCACCAGCTAGCCGCTAACTTTGTCTGTCTGCCGTTGGTCTGGGAAGGTTGCGTTTGGCCATTTGGGTTTATCCGAGCTTTTTCACTGAAAACAAGTTGATGAGAGCTGAGAGAGTGAATGAAACCAAAACAATTAGCTGAAAGACGCAAACATGCTTCGCAGAGCTGAGGGGAACTGAAGAGTTGAGTGATAATTATCCTTGGGTTTCACATTATAGACAATGTTTCCATTAGTTTATATATCTATATATATATATATATAGTTTTAAGATCAAATGAAGTTCGGTTAATTTTAGCCTTTTCCCAATATTAAATAAATCAGTTTTTTAGGTTTGATTGAATGTGTCTGTGGGCGAATCAGGACTGCTTACCATGTCATCATTGGGGTTATCCATGTTGTCCATGTGATCTTTGAGCACATGACAGGCAGCCAGAAAATCTGCACCCACTGTCTCTCTGGAAGAAAGAGCATGCGTATGTGGGTATGTGGGTATAAGGAAAGGGAGAATAGAAAGACATTTTGTCTCATAGCATAGCCTATTCGATATAGTTATTCCCTGAAGAGTAAACGCACCATTACATCTTCCAAACAATAAGTGATAAGGCGTTTGTTCCGGTCCTCTCACCTGCCCCCGGTGGTGGTTTCTGAGCCACATTTCCCCTCCATCTGTTCTCCTTGGGGCTGTGGTTTCGTCTTGGCCGTTTTCTCAGCTTCCACAGACACTACGTTTCCATCTGTCCACCCTGATCCTCCTCCTCCCGATATCATCTGTCCGTCTGGGCTCGTTTGCGTCATTCCCTCCATTCGTCTCTTCCCTGGGACTCCATCCACCTGGACAGCAGCCATCTCCCGAGGGCTGATGCTGCTCTCCTTCACTAAGTCCTGCCCAACCACATTTCCACTTTTACGTCTTTAAAACATAAAGAAAGGAGAGCAGAGCAGAGAAATTATGATGTTTGTCTCGGTCAGAACTATAGCTTAAATAACCTCAAGTTAGTACGTCTTTCCATCAAAACTATGGTTTAAGCAATAATCATAACTCTAAAGGCTGCTGAAGTCAGAGGGAGTTATTCACTAACCCTTCATTAACACCCACAGAATGTAGGCTTTTTGACATCTGGGCGCATCCATCTGTCCTCATGATGGATTTTGAAGCTGCATTAGAGACAAACACAGAGGATATGATTAAATATCACAACACAGCTGAACAACAACATTAAACAGTACATATTTATCATGGTGTATGGCTTATACACAGACATTTCTTCACAAAAAGCTACTCAGAACAAATATGTTGTCAAAATTGTTCACATTGATTCAAATTAAGAGTGGGCCTGAATTTGACAAGGGAACATCATGATGTAGCCTCTTAAACAATAAATGGAGTTAGATTTTCAGTATTGACTTTCAAATTGGAGTAAAAGAAAAACTTCAATTTTGACACGACTTCAGTAGTGTGAGCGTGAGTTTCTTTATTCAAATTAAAATGAGCTTTTGGTTTTTCAACAACAGCCAAAGTCTGCACATAAACGTGTTCTTATTCCTGTGTTGCTACAGCTGTTAAGTTGCTACTGCTGTTAGCATTGACAACAATTCCAGCTCTGTTTCACACAGGCTTTCCACTCCACAGAGCTCCACCGGCACAACGCTGAAATTTGGATAACCCTCTTCAACCCTATGGGCCTGCTTTCAAAGGGTTCCAAAGTTTGAAATAATAAAGTATGTAATAAATATTTCATATGAGGTTTGCCGTTTTTGCAACTTAAGTTCAGTTTCTGTCTATGCTAACGAAAAATTGGAATCACTTGCTTGCAAGTGTGTGAATACATACTCTGAGGTTGACGGCTGATATTTCAGCTTTCCATGCTGGGATTTCTGACACTTTCAAAAAGGGGAAAGCTCTGAATCTGAAAATAAAAGCAGTTCAAACTAGAAACCATCTTGTGATGGGATCACACCAGCAGCGACGCCAAATAGGGCCAGGGACGCAATGGCTGCTTCCCCACTTACTAACTACCTACTTCAAACGCTTGCTTGTCCCACACTCATCTTTAAACTCTGCCTTCATTTTGATCTGAACTACATACCTGTAAAGTTTCTTGATGCTAACGCATTTACAAAAATAAAATATATGAATAAAGAATTTAATAAAAACCTAGCAGAGTATTTAAAACTGCCTCTGTGGAAGTTCCTGCTACAGTAGGTCACTGCTAACCAGTCTTAATGACAACTAACTAGAGATGTGATCCAATGAAATACAACCATTCATCAACCAGATTCCCAACTAAAACAACTGTTTTTTGAGGCAATGTGTGTAGACAATGTTAGAATATTTTAATCATTACAGTGACATAATGTACAATCTGTGGACTTCGTTACCTCCGTGTTGAATCCTCTCTCCATCACTGTTCCCTTGTTGGGTGTAGTAGGAGGTAAGGATCTCAACGAGTCCCATCATCTCCTGCTGTAGGGAGTTGACTTTGGGGTCTGGGTGCTGTAGAGGTTTGCCCTCCTTTCCTGAATCAGGGCCTACACATAAACACTCCCACTGCTGATCCAGGAGCCTCTTGACCTTCTTTATGTGGTGGACGACCACTGCTGTTTGATCTGAAGCCTCTCCAGGGTCCACAGACACTACTGCTTCTTGTTGTCGACACTTTTGTCCGTTTGTGGTAACAGTTCTTGCATCTGGACTTCTTGACACTTTATTATATGGTTCAATAGATCTCACCACCGTCTCATCTCCATCCTGGTCTACCACCACCCTCTCTGCACGGACCCACGCTGCAGGATTCCTGATAAGGTGCTCCATCTTCTCATCTTTTCTGCTGCTCTCCTCATGCTGCTCCCTCAGAAGCCCTAAGGCCCTCTGCAGCTCTAGGCCAGTCTCATGGAGCTTCTGCTCCAGCACAGCTACTTTAGCCTGCAGGGACGTCACCGTCAGCAGCTCATCCAGATCTGTACTAGTCCTCCACTCGTGCGTGGGATTGGAGTCGTGTCGACTGACGCTGTGATTTCTAGGAAAGATGGTGTGACTTTCATGCCGAGGCCTTTTAATGTCCTCTGTGCTGTAGTGGGACGAGGTGGAAGGGTCTCTGGTTCCATTCATCGAGGAGGGTGGGACATGTGGATTCAGGCCCAGACGGAGCCTTTGTCTTTCCTCCTGGAGGATGCAGATATGCGCCCTGAGCTCTGGAACCACCCTCACCTCCATCTCCAGCTCCCCGACACGTTCTAGGGCCTCCGTCAGGCGCCTCAACAGACCTGAGCAGTCCTGTGGTCGAGGGCTGTCCAGGGAGTAGAGGACGTCTTCACAGGAGGTGTTTCTATCTCCAAGGTGATCCCTTGAACTCCTGAGGCTGCTGAGGTCGTCAATGGACTCTGATCCCTGTCTCAATAAAACTGTGAGTGGCATACTGGAGGCACGCAGGAGATGAGGCCTGATGTGCTCACCGAGAGGTTGCTCATCAAACTCCTTGATTCTGGCCTCCATCTCTGCCAAGGATTTGAGCCCTGTAGGAGAAAGTGGCGACCTGTGATCATTTGCCCAGGAAGAGTAGCCATAGTGATGGGCATCTGACAGTCGGGACCTGGGACCAAGAGCTCCAGTAGATCCCCAGGGGCTCGGGCGGTAGCCACACCCAGAAGGATTGAGTTGCCTGGGAAGAGTGCTGGCTCTAGGGCCTTTGCTCCGGCGTTGGATCGGCACTCTTTTGATTGTGTTGCCTTTCTCTATGTCATCTACGTATTTTAGGAAGTCCAGGTCCAGTCGAAAGCCATAAGGTGTTTCCACTGAGTACGGGGGCTTCCCTTTGATTCCATTCCCTGTTCTTTTATGAGGACTGATATTTCCTGTAATCATCAAATCGGTAATTTAGTATCTGTCACAAATTTAGAACAATTCTGTCATGTTTGGGAATTTCTTTACCGTTTTGTCCTTCCATCCCTTTTTTGTCTTCAGTTGTCTTCTAGTTTTCTGGTTGGACCTTTGGTATCTGACAAAACAAATAAAATAAAATCAAAGATGGGTGTGAATTGAGCGAGCAACACATGGAAAACACATGTTAGGACATTTTTACATTGGTTACTGTGTGGTTATCTAATACAATAATGAACACTGTCATGATTTCTGAGGGGGAAAGCAGATGCGTTTTGGCACTGACTTTTATTTGAGGTTTAACTGGTATTTTTTATGGGAGACTCCATCTTAATTTAGTGACCAGATGAAGTTTCACTCTGAACAGCAACAACACTTTTTTGGTTCTCCATTCACAATCTGCCTCTTATTCATTCTCCCACGTGCAGCGCAAAGCACAAAACACAAACATTAAATTACGCTCAAGTGCTTTCTTTTTCTTCTTTTTCTTCTTCACTCTCATTCTCTTCTTTTACCCAAGACTTCTGTTTTTCTCACACTCTCACTGGTTCATTTTGTCCAGGCATCGGCCTGCTATTATTCAACAGTGGCACGCCTGATGGTCACTTGATTACAGCTCTGCCATCCAGGACGAGACCTGAAAATAGCTTGGGACTGTTTAGCCCAGCAGCTATGGCCAGCGGAGCAAAATATACTCCTACAGACATAAATACAGACAACCATTGTTGTGACTCACTACTTTCCTCCCTTCCTGCCCTCTCTGTGCCTCCTACTAGTCTATAGTCTTCTGTCAGATCCTTGGTTTACGTTTACGGAACTGTCTCTGACTGCAACTTTCTTTTTCCTCTCCTTTTTTTTACAGTACATGGCTCTATAATTCTGCTGACTCTCTCTTATTTTCTCTATATAGACAACAGTCTGGGTAGTCATTTCTTCCCCTACCTCCTTCTCTCAGTGTCCCTCCCTTCCAGCCTCACCTCTTCCCTCCTCCCGTCCTTCCTCCCCGCTCCTGACCACCAACCTCTGTGGCAGCTAGCTGTCCTCTTTAGGCCCTGCAGCCACCCAACCACAGTCCCAAACAATGTCAGCTATGCAGTAAACAGACAAACACCGCCAAATGTCCCTGCTGGGAATTTTGACCTCTGTCATTCACACAGTCTACGACGACGAGCGATAAACAGCAATGGATCTGCAATAAACAGTTACGAATGCGCACATTTTTACTAGCTGAAAACACTGACATACACTTGCAAATGTACAAATACATGCAACTCTTGCATGCACTCTATGCATACCATGTCTGTTACATGTTGCCTTTATAGTCCCCAGATCACTAGAGTTTAACATTTTCTGATACTATTGCCACTATGATCCCTGAGTTTTGGTACTGATTTAAGATTTAAGTTTTTTTAAACTTTACATTTAGGAAAAAAAGCCACAAAATGCTTTTTTTCATTTAAAGGGAAAATTTGCCAATTTTCAACCCTGTCACAATCTATCTGAGTTAGAGATACAGTGTGTTAAAAACGCCTATAGTTCTTGTTCTCTGTGTCTCTGGGGTGCAGCTGCAAAATCTGTTTTTCCAGTGACATTACAGTGACATCATTGGAGGCAAGGAAGAACTACATACCGCCACCTCAGCTTTGGTAGCTGCGGGGCACAATGCCGCTCTTCGCTTGTATTGCAAAGAAAGAGAAACTTAAATTCAGACTCTGTACGGTTGTATTTTTCTGTTTGGATGTAAGAATATTTCCTTCATTGAGATTTTGTTTCCTTCATTTTGTTTATCTATCAGAATAAAAGCTAGCCTGTGTAACGAAGCAAACTCGCCGCTCGCATGCAATGAATCCTGTTGCATGTAGGCACAGCCAGAAAGCTCCGCGGCAGGAGAGATCAGCTTTCTCTGTCATTATAGCATTGGGGAATGTATCTGTCTTGTGGACTACATTTACCATTAGCACTGATTGGACACCCACGAAAAACGTGGCAAATTCTCCCTTTGAGCAAAAGTTTTCAAACATCGAACTATGACAACTAATATAGTATAAATTAAAATTGTAAACTGAAAGCTACAATAACATTTGAAACATTTGCCAGATTTTGGTACCTGATAGTTTTCAAAACTTCTAATTCCTGTTGGTACCAAAAAAGTAAATATGTTTAAGTAAAATAAGTGAGTCAGTAAAATGTAATAATACTATTTCAAATATTTTCTTTACTTGAATTACTTCTCACTCTAAGTTCTGTTCTTTAGCCCTTACAGAAACCTAATACACGTGTTAAACTTTGAATCTGATACACTGTTGTTATGCCAGTGGGCTTTTATGATGTTGAGTGGGGTCTCTCAGCACTCCATCTGACAAGTCTAAGATTAGCCTTTCCACGTGGTGTTTAACTAAAGTGCATGTCAAGAGACATGACCCAGACATGGGTCTTCATTTTACAGTGATATAGGATAATTCGATGTCCTCCAGGTAGACAAACAAAAAAATCAATCATGTTGTTTAGAGCTAGTGAGGCATTAAGTTGAACAGAAGAACCTAATGTTGACTACAAGCAGAGACTGTATTCTGCATCGACTCTGTTAGTCTGCACTGTACAGCCGAGCACCTGTTACATCTCAATCAGTCTCACTGCTGCCTCAGTCATCAAGTGGTGAATGCAGGCTGCAGTTCAAAAGAACAAAAACACTTGCAGGAAAATCTTTTACATTTGTGCTTTGCAGTAAAAGATCAACAGTCACTTTACACTTGTAAAAAGTATTTTTTTCTTGCTGAGAGTTAAATGAGAAGATTGATGCTACTCCCTTATCTGTATGCTAAGCTATGCCGGGAGATTGTTAGCTTAGCTTACCATCAAGACTGGACAACAGCTAGCTATAGGTCTAGCTCCAGGACCTCTGTAAAATCCCCACAATTCTTGTATTAATTAGATTCAACATGCTAATGCTAATTAGTGAGCAAGGCATGTGTACCTCGGGACAGAGCCAGGCTAGCTGTTTCCAGCTGCTTCCAGTTTTTATGCTAAGCTAAGTTAGCCGTCTCTTGCCTGCTGTCAGACAAGCAAAGTAAAAATTCAAACTGCTGAAGCCCACAAGTTCCTTTCTTAATATAGACAGACTTTCTGACCAGGATACCACAAAGGAAACATAGTAGAGTCATTGCCTAACTCTCCACATTTCTGTGGCATGGATTTTAATTGTGTATGCGAGTCGGCCCACCTCACAGGAAACCCGAGAAATTAACGTAAAAAGCTTTGCCTTTACCCAAACAGGCTCCATACAATGCTGCCTCTGCACACATTGCACTCAATCCAAAGTCAAGCATCAGAGTGAGGGAGTTATCAAAATTTGCTTTGTATCCAGATTAAGCTCTTGTTGTTTTTCAGTTCATTAAATGTCACAGTTTTTTAAGCGTCCCTTTTATTTTGTTTGGATTCTTTTCATCTTTCTGTTCCCACAACAGCAGCTCTCGTCCTCTGGGTAAATGTATCACTTCTCACACAGACCTTTTAAACATCCTGCATCAGCACAACCCGTGGAATCATAATATCTCTATGCACAGCATTCTTTACCAAAGCCACAAATTTAATATGAACTTATGACACAGCAAGAGGACCTCAGATAAGGACGAGGGGATCATGTTGGACTTCAAATTTAAGTCAGACGAAGATAACTACTAGTATAGTCACTGATTGTACCAGCATGTTGCAGTGCTTATTTTTAGCCATTTTTGGCTCTATGGCAATGTCGGTTGGTTGTTCCGCCATTTTGGTGCAGACCGAAATATCTCAACAACTGTTGAAGGGATTGTGATTCAATTGCGTACAGACATTCATGGTCCCCAGAGGATGAATCCTAAAGACTTTGGTGAATCCCTGACTTTCCATTCAGTAGGTTCATTCATGAGGTTGACATGTGCTGTTTTGAGTGAAATGTCTCAAAACATATTGGATGCTTGCCGTTCAATTTGATACACATATCCATGCCCCCCTCAAGATAGATTGTAACAACTTTGGTGATCCCTTGACTTTGCATCATTAACTCAAAAAGTCAATATGTCCAACACTATGGTTTGTGACTAAAAACCAATGGCGTATCCATCAGCCTCAGCTGTACTTTGTGTTTGGTGCTAATTAGCAAACATGCTAACATACTAAAAAAAGAATGTGATGTTAACATCTTACTCAAATCACCAACATGTCTTCTGCAAGTGTAACCTCAGTCTTTTTACAACTTATGGAATAACATACATTCATTCTTTTTCATGTTTTTGTTTCCATGGGTTCACATGGGGTGAACTTGCAGAGCTGTCAGTTCAGATAATCTATCACATTGTCACAGCCACCAATCACTGTTTAACACTATAATGTGACTTATAATGTGTAAAATGTGTCTAAAATGTGAGACAATTAACGTAATCCTAAACTTTAGACCTTACAGGGATGTTTCAGAGATATCCCCATGCTCTTTGCCCGTCTCTGTCCATCTGTCTGTACATTATGTAAATCATGTTTTCCTGTCTATGTTCTGTTCTCGGAAAAATCATTCCTCTCCTCCACTTTTTGGCTGTACAGACTGCGGTTTTCTACAGTTCATATAAGCCTTGTCTTCTGCTTGGAGTTGATTTAGGAACCAAAGCCAACAGTTTGGACTCAAGATCCCTTTTCCCTCCTGTTTTAACTGTCTCTTCTTTTTTAGGTCAAACTCATTAAACACATTTTTCCCTCACTGTCTCCTTAAAAACTTCCTTGAAATCCCTTGAGTTAAATGACAACTTTTCCGTTTTCCTGTTTTAATCTTGGGATTTTGGACCACTGGAGTCCTGGTTGTTGTCCAACAGCAACAGGGTCAGAGTTGCATTGTGGCATCTAAGCCGTGCGTGGTATGTGGAGCCAAAGCTCATAGGATGAAACAGCTGCCACGGACTTCACGCATGGAAGAAAACTATGGTATGTTAGCATTGCAAGGTTAAAATAGAAAGCTGCCTTGTGCGTGTGGTGGTCACGTGGACATGTGTGTTTGTGTTTGTTCAAGTGTATTTCTGTACAGTAAAAGTAAATAAAATGTAAATATAATTAAACATTTAATCTTTCAAAGGCAAAGTTATTCTCATGAAAGTCTGATTAGTATTCAGCACAGGCCCAGAGCTCTAATCCACACAATGTGTTAAATCACTTTATAGTCAAAAGCTTTTCTGACCCTGAATTTAGATCAGCCTGTCCCAGATCTAAAGACTTTCAAGGTCAATATTTAGCATCTCGGCTCTGACTAACAATCCAACCCAACAGTCCTCCACTGTCTGAGAGATATGAGATCAACATTAAACCAGAGCTTACCTGATGACATGTGTTCAGCAGTTTTCTCCAGTTTGTCTTGGTGATGTGAGGGCGTGTTTGTCAGACAGTCCACTACAGTCTGCTCCCAGCTCAGTTCAGTCTGTCTGTCCGTCTCCTGAAAAGGCAAAGAGGTGCTGTCAGGAAGAGTGGCATGCCGCGGCTGTTTGGGAAATGCCAATGTGCGGCCCCTGCCATAAGAGAAGCTGGATTTGCTTGTGTGTAAAAGAAAGCACTGGAGGCAAGGAGGGGCTTTTGAGCAGTACCTCCTGTCCAACGACACTGACGAGTGGGAAGCTAGGCACACAGAACCACACCCATTCCTTCAGAGAGCAGCCAATAGGAGTTCAGAGGAGTAGCCGTCCGGCAAAAGACAGCAGCTCTCCTGGAACCCTGAACATGTCAAAATATGGAGCATCTGGCGAAGTAACAGAAAGTTCCAGAGTCACCTTACTGTTGTGTACCGTCCATAATCCTCTCAGATAATATCAGTGACCACGCAGTGCCTCAGAGACCACCCTCGTTCAGAATGTGTAACCCTACCCAGTGCTATGTGGTCTCTGTCCTCTATATGCAAGTACACAGGGGGAGAGCAGAGGGCTTGGTGCCATCCATGGGGGTTAATTCTTTTAGTGCATACCTCTCATTCTCCATGGATCCGCTTTCAACCCGCACCCACCATCTTCCTTTGGGGCACTACCATCATGCCAGGAAAGCCTTTCCTCTGCTCCTTTTGAAAACAGTGGAGAATGAGAAACAACTGTCTGGTCTGGTCGCCTGTCTTTTATCACCAAAGTCGTTGTGAAAAAGAGGAAATTGCTTTTGTAGTCATGCTAGCAGCACAGTTTCAGGGCTGACAGTGTCAGTCTGTTCACCACTTTGATCCAGACTTGAATATCTCAACAACTGTTAGATGAATTGAAGAAGACTTGAAACTAGCGATTGAGACCATAAACTCCTGTTTACAACTAAACATTGTGTTTAGTGAGGTAATACATCAGGAGAGAAGTAGAGTCATTTTCTCATAGATTTCTATACAATCAGACTTATTTTTGCAACCAGAGGAGTCGCCCCCTGCGGACCATTAGAGAGAATGCAAGTTTGAGGTGCTTCAGTTTTTAGAATCAGAGGTTACCACTCGGGATTGACACAATATGTTGAACAGATATGCCACCATGAGGTTCATATTTGAGGTTTTATGTGACATGTCTCAACAACTAGTGGATGGATTGCCATGACATTTGGTACAATCAATCATGTCTGCTTGAGGATGAATTATGATTTTTTATTTGTAGATCCCTTAACTTTTTAATAATCATTACACCTGCTAAGCATTAACAGGATAGGATTGACACTGTGAGCATGTTATCGTGCTAATAAGCATTTAGTTCAAGGTACAACCCCACAGAGCCTCTATGGCTGTAGACTCTTTCTGATTCTGTTTATTCTATACAGTTAATACCTGTCTTTTCTCTATCTAATCTATTTTTTGTGTCTAAAAAGCCACCGCCCCAGTGCCCCGCCATGGATGGAAAAGGAATTAGTAAATTAGCAAGAAATACTCCTTTTCCATTACCCAAGCAGACAACTGACTCCGAGAGGGCTTGTGGTTTGACTCAAGGGAGGGAGAGGGAAAAACGGTCTTTATTGGACCAAAGGATTGCTGACAGACTGACCACATACTGCAGAAAACTTGGCCTGAAGGCAAAAATCTTGGTCTGCTCAAAGTCGGTTTCAGAGAAAGATTTAGAGTTGCATCATATTTGAAGGGAAATATGGGGTAAAAAATAAATGCTTAAAATATTAGTTGAAAATTGAGTCAGTAATTATTAACTTGTACAAATAGACATTTAGGGCCCACAAAGTGAAATGCATGAGGAACGAGGCTTGCCAGCTGCAGGGTATTCATTTTCTTCCCATTTGACTGTTTTTACTTGTGAAGGCTGCCTCCTGGTGAAAAGTATAGCTGGACTTCAGATAATACTAGCAATAGGCAGGTCCTCTTTTTTGTAAAAATCATGAGACGTTTTTGGATGCTTTCATGTGTTCGCTGAAGTTTTATGTTGACGAAATGATCCTGAACCTTTTCTAATCTAATCCATGTATGTGCTGTTTTTGTTATTGTCGCTCAATAATTTCTTTGAGGAGTTGGGCCTTTAAAGGACAGCTGATATAACAAAACAGATGGAAAAGTTTAAAGTAGTTCAGTCCACCTAAAGCTCTATCAGCTGACATCTCCCCCCCATTGATGATTGTTATGTAACTGTGGCTTGTGGTCAGGGGAGGTTGTGCTGTAGCTGCATTGGCCAATTGAAACACTAGTCATGTAACAGTGAACTATGACTCAAGAACGTCCTTGTAACCACAGGGCCACAGACCCTTGACAGCTGAGGATACATACGTCTTACAGTAAGCAAAGCTGCTGGAATTCATTTGAATGTAGATGTCAGTTGTAGGCTATAGGTCTCTCGGTTAAAGTTTATATTAAGGCCGAGGTTTAATATGTTTAAAAAATGTTCAGCACCAGCTGATGTGTGTCTAACAAATTATTTATTGAAATAGTTTTCAGCTAATAATAACAATCATAAAAAAGATTGTTCTCAGCTAATTAGTAGTAAAACGGCCAAATTAACAAGTAGTTCATTTTCTCAGTCAAATCTTTCAATAAAGTCAATGTCTGTGTGAGTCATGTGTTAAGTCACTATCAATATCGACTAACTAACTTACTCACTGACTTACATTTTATATGTTTTTGTGAGTTGAAATGTTATTTGTAGTTCATTGCTCAAAATGCAAGTTGCATGTTGATATTCTATAAGTATTCATCCTAGGATTACATTGATATTTAATGATATTCAGTATTGGCATACATGATTGAAAATAATATGTATCTCCTTTTAGAACTAAACTTTGGACAGTTTATCCAATACACTGACTACAAACCAAGAAAATGTGGACTTAACACAAAAATCTGTTACTGTAAGAGCTGGTCGTGTTGCCGCAAATGAAAAAAACTGCAGAAGATGAAATGAACTAAATCATTTTAAGGTCAATGATTAGAGAGAAACATAGAAAAGCAGCATGTGCATTACCATGTCTTCTATCATCATCTATCGTCATTATATCATTATAATGGAAGAAGGAAGAAAATTGCATAGAGATTTTTTTCCCATATTAGAAGCAAATTACTTACATATCAGTCCAAAGTGTACAGTGTGCACAAAGCAATTCACAGTTTGCTTTTGAATGTTGCAGGAGACTTGCTTGAGCACCCTCCAGCAGTCAGCAAGCATTGTACAAGCTGATGGCTGTTGGCAGAAAAACAGCCCCTAAGGTGCTTTCATTTAGCCCCTGAGGATGAGGAAGAGAGCTTTGAAGATTCTCTGTAGCTGCATCAGATCACCGTGCAGAGTTTTACAATCATGGGGTTTGGACTTGCATACAGTGTCACAGTGTGTGTGGAAGACTGATATATACGTATCTATCATTTGTGTTGTAGTCTAGACCACCAAACGTGTATCGAGACCGAGACAAGACCGAACCCTCGCAGGCCGAGACCGAACAAAGACCAGACCAGTGCGAGTCCCAGTACTGCTGTGTGTTTATAGGTATCCAAATTTTATTACCAAAGATTTGGCTGACCTCTCCTCCCAGACAGCCTCAAACAGCTCCTTCTCCTGTCTGTCATTTCTGGGGTATGTAAGAAGGATGCAGAGATGCTTGACAGTCGTTTGTAGTAACACAGAATTCTATTTCGAAAAGAGTCAAGTTATTGGTTGTATTTATATTTATAAGTCTTACATCCTTACACAGTAAATCACACAATGCACAAGTAATTTCGTGATATCCCCACAATTGTGTTCTTGCCCCGTCTTGAAATACCGTCCTGAGTCTGCTTTGTCCGAGAAAAGACCGAGTAGAAATGTGGTTGACTCCTTCACAACGTTGTCTTGAGACAAGTCTTAAGACCCTGACCGAGCTTGAGTACCATGACACTGTCTTTTAGAAAAAGGAAAGATGGGGAAAATATACTTTGTGTATAATACATTTGGAGCTTCTTCCATAACCCGTCCTGAAAATAGTAGGTCCTACTGAAATTCACATGGCAACTTGACGACTCTGTCTGTTCTTGTTCTTAAGAGAATTGTGGGACCCCAAAAAGGACAAATTTAAATAAGCAGCTCAGAAACAGTACAACGAAAAAAATATACATATAAGTTAAGTTAAGGTAATTAAATTAGAGAATTGACATATGGGGCGACTGTGGCTCAGAAGGTAGATCGGGTCATCGGTGTGTGATTGGTGAATGATTAGTTAGTTCTGATGGGCAGGTGGCACCTTGCATGGTAGCCGCTTCCATCAGTGTATGAATGAGTGTGAATGGGTGAATGACATGTAGTGTAAAATCACTTTGAGTAGTTGGAAGACTAGAAAGTACACGTCCATTTACCATTTACATATACAATATATACATTACAATACCTTAGGCTATATGAGTTTTTTTTAAATTTATATTTGTGCAAAAGAAATCCAGAAATCCAATAGTGCTATACTGGCAGCTACAATATGTACTAAATAAAATATGATATAATAATATAAGTATAGATGCCATAAGTGTTAACAATACAATATACCTAAATAACTTAATGAAGTATATCTTGTAATATACAGTAAGCAGTATATGTAATATACAATCACAGTAGTACTCAATGTTCCACCTCTGACCCTTGTATAGATCACTGGCCCACTCCCCCTGTTCATCACACACACTCCTTTGTGGCCCCTTTACCGTGTGTCCCTTACTTTTTGAAGCTGGTCTGTGGCTTTTCTGTTAGAAGTTTTTATAAATGTGGGCCACTGTGCACCCATACATTGTACCATCAAGAGAGCAGGGCCCCATGCTGAAGTCAGGGTTGTGGACTGTGTTTACTGTGTAGTGTGTACACACTGTGGGGCTGATGCAATCCTGCTCTCATGTTGGAAGTTAACAATTAACAGAGAACATGGGTCACCCCCCTGTATAGATTGGTGGTTATGTCTCCCCTCATACTCGTAAAAATTGCGACACTTGTTTTCTTGCATTGCGTGTGTGTTTTTGTGTAGAGTGAAAATTAAAGTTGCAACCTTTATGCAGGTTTCACTGAAGGGAGGTAAAGCTATAATTATCACAATAAGATGCAACATGTTGAATCAGGAAGCATTTTTGTCTTGGATTTAATTGCAAACAATTCATGGTGCTTGATTTCATTATGAGCAACAAGCTGTTTGTTAGTTTGCTAGTGCCATTACGTGCATACTTACACAGCACCTGCACTGCACTTACCCACTACCAGATAAATAAACTAAACATTCCAAAACCATAAACTTGTAAGTCCTATTTCTCAATCCAATCTATAGGTAACCGGGTCATCTTCCTTTTTAAAAATAAACCAGCCACGCAATAATAACAGACCAGCCGTGACCTCACCAACAAGTCACTATAGGTCAGTTAAAAACACTACTGAATGTCACCCTGTCCTGACTGAAAGGGAAAACATCTTTAGTTAAGTGTTAGAGTGCAAATGAATGCAGTGGCAGGCAGATTAAAAATGAAGTGAATTCAACCTGAATTTACTTTTTTGTTTGATTATTGACTAAACATTCCAACGGATGATGATCTTAAAACGAATCACTGAAATGAGTTGAACTTTCAACAGTCCACTCAACAAGAGGAAACTACATCATACATGCCGATATTGATCAGATGAACAGGTTAATCATTGACCTGATTCCAGACAGTGTACATAAAGCCCAGGATCCTCACCAGTCACACTGGAGGGAGAGGGCTTCCAGTTGTTCCCATAACATCACTGACACACAGCTGGAGAAGCAGCCCAATCATCATGAGAATCGCACTAATTCCCATATTGTTGCTCGTGGCTGCTGCCTGTGTCCCTGCCCTGTGTGGCAAAGAGGACCAGCCTGTCCTCCAGCCCGAGGCCCCGGTTGAAACCCGTTCCCGGTTTGCCGCTCTTGATGATGTGCGTCTCCTGGCAAACGGCCTCCTCCAGCTGGGTCAGAGCCTGCGGGAGTTTGTGCAGAAGACAAAGGGACAGATAAACGACATCCTCCAGAAGCTGAACATCTTTGACCACTCGTTTTACCAGCTCTCAGTGCTTGCCAGTGAAATTAAAGAGGAAGAAGAGGAGCTAAAGAAGACCACCGTGGTGCTGAAGGCCAACAACGAAGAGATCAAAGGCCTGTCTGTGAAGATCAGCTCCAAGGTGGACAGCATCCTGCAGGAGAAGAGTCGGTTGAAAAACAAGGTGGAAGGGCTGGAGGAGAAGCTGAGCAGCATGTCACAAGGCCTGATGACAAGCGAACAAGGTGCAGAGATCAGTGGCCTCAGGGTGAGTCACCTGTTGTAAAAAAAGGATTATTTGCTTTTGAGGATTTTTTTGTTGCTGAGGTGGAAATGCCTCTGAAAGATAATTTAGATACAACATTAAAAACTCCTTCTGGGTGAGATGGCAACTTTCTTTGGGCAGCCTATTCTTTCACAAGCAGGAATTATAACTTTTTTGAAGCCAACACAAATCTCCTACATGTCTACTGGAAAGAGATGTTAGACAAGCTTTTAACATGCCTTTTGAATACTTAATGACAACTCTTAATAACGTATAGTATGCTATTTGTTTCCTTAACTATGCTTTGTTATGCGATTGTTCTCCTAATCTACTGTATGTCTTCTAAAATACAGACTCCGAGTATTGTCTGTGATACAGCATTAAATAACAGCATTCCTTAACAGTTTCCATGATTCTTTCATGGTCCCTGGTCAGGAAGTGATCCTCAGCCAGGAGCGGAGCATCACAGAGCTGCTGAAGGCTGTGAGGGAGCAGAGTGACCAGCTTAACCACCAGAAGGTTAAGATCACCATTCTGGAGGAAAAGGTAAATGTTAGAAAAACGTTTTGCCAGAAGAGGGGGTCAAAGAAGGGGGTGGATTATGTACCTTTTTCTTTTTGCTTAGTGTTAGTAGCAAAAAATAGTTGGGAGTGCAGGGGACTTTTCAGACATTTTCACTCATTTTCTCACCCATTCATTCATTCCTTGCAAGTTTTATTGTTGCAATCCAATAGTTGCATCACATTCATATTTTAAGCTGCACCTTTAAGAAGGTATCTGAAAGAAATGTTTCCACCACGCCGACAACGCAACTCAGGGGTAATGTAACTGATTGGTCGGACAGAGTGTCACGTGCTGTCCTGGACAAAAATCCTGTGTTTGTTTGACCCACGCACGACAGGGGGTGTTACATTTTTTATAATTCAAGGAGAGGGTCATAAGACAATATTAATGACATTCAGGAGGATGTTGCTTTTTTAAAGTGTTATAATACATTTTCATTTTCATTAGTCTTTAAAGCACAAAATGAATATTGTTACAGTGAAATATGTCAAAAACTTTTTCAACTTTTGCAGATTGACAACCCAAAGTATATTACGCGTGGAATTGCTATTTAATCCGTAGTATTTCCTGGTGGTCAGTCTGAGGATTACGTCGGCTAAATGAAGTCTTTCCCTGACTATTGTTCCTAGCTTACAGTCAACACATTGACACAAGAGACCATTGAGAGGATGCCTGACATCTTCAACAATGAAGCACCAACACTCACCCCTTATCTGATATCAAGCTCTACCGGCACCACCAGCATGACGAGTAAGAGTGATAATAAAGCATGAGGAACTGTTAAGAGTGATATTAGGATTTAGTATTTTTTTATTTGTGTACATTATATCAGCAAGCACAAAGGTTTATATTCAATATTACTGTGTCAGTGCTCATCATTTACGAATGAGTCCCGACAATTTACAGCAATTATCTGCTTCACTTTCATACATTTTCTTACCTGCCTGCACATTCACAGTTTCAGCATTTACTGAGCAATACATTATCCTGCACACATTTTTCCTGCCAATGTTGCTGATACGAACTGTTGACTGTGGTCACAAGTGCACTCCCATTTCTCTGCTCCTGATCCAGGATCAACTTTGACATCATGTCTGTGTCCATTTTTAAATAGATCTGCCATCAGACTGCAGTGACCTGTTCAACAGAGGGGAGCGAGCCAGTGGTGTCTATGCCATCAGACCTACCGGAACGGAGCCCTTCATGGCTTTTTGTGACATGAGCAAAGGTACTGTCACACAAACATTTAACTTTATCATAGCACAGGACTACAGGTTTGTTTGTCATTAAAGATCCAATTTAAATTGTTATTATTCTTATTAATTACTGTCTATCTTATATCTTACTAAAAGTTTCAATCCTCAATGTAAAGCAGCAGTAGAACAAAATTACAGTAATGCATGCATGAATTGTTTGCTGTGAATTCCAAATACATTCAAAGGCAATTTGAATACAGGGCAGGGATGGCGGACTTCGCCACTAACAATGAAAACTAATACAGAAGAAGTAATTACATAATATAAATACATTAAATAGCTACGCTTAACAAATGTTGAACATATCAACATTAAACTATTTGATGTAAGTTGAGAGGTTTAAGACTTTAAATTAAATCATTAACTTTTTCTATTCCTTTTTCTTTTTCTTCAATTTAGATCATGGAGCAACAGTCATCCAGCGAAGGACTGATGGTTCAGTGAATTTTGATCAAATCTGGGAGAAGTATGAAAATGGGTTTGGAGATTTTCAAAGTGAGAGACATTATTCTCTTCTTGAGACTTTACTTGAAAATGTATTGTCAACTGACAAATTATAAATGACTTAGTGTATATCATTATTATAACATTTGTAATTTTATAAAATGTAATAACAGCATCACTTCTCAAAGGTGCTTGATAAATCATGTCAGCTCCGACGGCTCACTGATGTCTCTCTCACAGGGGACTTTTGGCTGGGTCTCAGAAACATCCACTCTCTAGCCACTCAGGGCAACTCTGTCCTTCACATCCAGCTGGAAGACTGGAAACAGAACAGGCGCTTCATTGAATACAGATTCAACCTTAATGGTCCTGAGAGCAACTACACCATTCACCTCACACATCTGTCTGGAGATTTGCCGGACCCCATGAGCAACCACACAGGCATGATGTTCTCCACCAAGGACAGGGACAATGACAACCACCAGGAATCCAACTGTGCCCGCAACTACACAGGTACAGCGGGTACACGTGTAGGAGACGTGTTTCTCCTTGTGTGATGCAAACAGGGGGATTAATGAATACTTGTACAACATGTCATTTCTGTCATCTTCCAGGTGGATGGTGGTTTAACGCCTGCAGAGACACCAACCTGAATGGGAGATATTTCCACATGAGACCTAAGGGGCGCTCAGATCGTAGGAGAGGGATTCAGTGGAAGCCGGTCCAAAAAGCGTCTTACTCCCTTAAGTTTATCCAGATCTCTGTACACCCCGTGGCTTCCCCCAATACCCCCTCCTTCACTTCACCCTCCTCTGAAACAAGTGTCTTTCTGTGATCCAGCACCAGCATTCTCAGAGAAAATACTGCATTTAACAGTGGCCTCTTCAGGAGAGCCCTGGCGATGCTTCATGTGGACAGCCATGGTTTAAGACGCCTTGGGCAGAGACCAAGACGTTTCTTCCGACTGTGAAGTTATAAATACTGAAATACAGTTAGCCGTTGGCATACAATATATCTTCACTCACTGTATCTCAGAGGTCAAAGGTTATGGAGGAGAAATTAAAACATACAGCCATATGTGAGCAGTTCTTATGTTGGGTCACATTGACTCTCAATATACAGCAGTGGTTTCCAACATCGCGGAGGCCCTTGAAGGGGTCACAAGATACATCTAAGGAGTCGGGAGAGAATTAACAGGATACGAAAGTCTACAAAACATAGTTGTGCTACACAGTGGACTTCTTTGAAGTGGTTATCTTGTGAAATACTGTCCATATTTACCTCCTCTATCATATTAAAGTTATGTAAATGTACCAAGGATTGCATCTCATAGTTATTTTCTTAATAAATGGATTAAAAATGTGAAAATAGTGAAAAATGCTTCAGACTCACAGTCCAAAACACCCCAAAATCAGAAGATAGAATAAACCAGCAATCAGTCACCTTTGACAGGCTGCAGGTAAAGAAAGAACTGTTGGCATTATTGATTAAGAAAATGAATAATTAATGATTAATCAATTTATTGTTTCGCTTCAATAAAATAGATCATCCGTTGAACTGCTTACACTGACATCTGTAATGAGTGACAAGGCATCCCAATCAGACACTGCTTCATTCTGAGGCATTTTTAAGGCAAAAAAGTCTGGGGAGGTGGTGACTTAATGTAATGCTAGTATTATTCATAAATTTTGGATAATCCATAACTGAAAATATAATGAACTTTTTTCCTGATCAATCCTGAAACGGAGCAAGACAAACGTCTATAATGTCCTGTTTGTTATTACGGGCTGTAGATTGATTCGGACATTGGTCTGGCACAGAATGGTCTTTTATGTTTAATAGAGATTTGGCCCAGACTCATTTTTTATTGATTTATTCTTATTTTGATGCCAAAGTATACAAATGGATGACTGATGCATGTTTGTGCTATTGTACTAAAACTATCGGAGTATTGCCCTGGGAGGTCTGGGAACGCTTTTGTATTGTGTTGTCGCCCTTAATAAACTCTAGAGGGCAGTGTTGTTCTGTCTCATGCAGATCCCTTCACTCTGATTTGATTGTGCTGCATGGATAATTAGATTTGACAAATTCTGTTTGTTTTGTAAACAGATACTTTCTTAAAACCACATCTAAATTCAGTATGTGCTTCTAATGACTCTCTAATTGCTCCTCTCACACTCTTCGTTCACACACTCGGCTTTGAGGTAAATATCCCCTCTCCAATGCCAATGAGAGATGTCATCGCTCATTGTTACTCTGAGAACAGCTGCAGCCGTTCACAGAGGGACAAATAGCTCCCATAACACCTCAGTACTTCCATCCAGACACACCCAAACACACACACACGCACACACACACACACACACACACACACACACACACACACACACACTTCTTTGTGACTTGGCCTGCAGCCTTGACAGTGATCTCCCTGCACATGTGTGAAGGAGCGTCTTCAGTTACTCCCCCTGCCTCTGCACACACATTGGCTTCAAAAGTTATTTTGGGTTTCAGAAGTGCCACTGTAACCCTGTACTTCTCGTGAAATAACAGGAGGAGTCAAGATTATACCCTGCCATTCTTCCCCTGTGTACGGTTCCCCATGTCAACTGACAGGGGATCTCCCTCTAAACACAGGTTGTAGCTCTCTTTGCTGTTGCATTAGGTTGGATTCTCATTTTGAAACAATGGACAACAGTCTTCTGCAGGTGTTGACTGTCCCTACAGCACCCTACCCCGACCAGAGACCCGGCACCAGCGGCCTGAGGAAAAAGGTCCATGTATTCCAGTCCAGGAGGAACTATCTACACAACTTCATCCAGAGTATCTTCTCCTCCATTGACCTGCGGGACCGACAGGGATCAACAGTGGTGGTGGGGGGAGACGGTCGCTTCTTCAACAGAACAGCTATTGAGGTCATTGTGCAGATGGCAGCTGCCAACGGGGTCAGTGTCGCCGTGTGTGTGTGTGTGTGTGTGTGTGTGCGTTTGTTTGTTTATGTGTGCATTCTGGTAAATGTGTGTTTGTATGTGGGTGTAAGCGGTCACCTGTTATCATTCCTTTGTTGTCATTTGTTGTACCATCCTCTTGTTGTCTCAGAATTCAATTTGCAGCCTTGGTTGGAGACATGGCTGTCTTCATAGGAATTCATTTAATAATAATAACAATAATAATATTGTGATAGAGATCCTAAATTAAAAGGTTAAGGTACAACATATTTATCTAGTTCTATCCAAATGTTAAAATAAAATAAATGTTCAATAATTAGAAAAGAAATTAGGTGTACATTCATAAGATTACTTTGTCTTTTGTCAAAGCTTTTGGTTGCGTGTGTGTGTGTGTGTGTGTGTGTGTGTGTGTGTGTGTGTGTGTTTGTGTTAAAATTGAACTACCACGCTTTTTATGTTAAAAAAGCTTTTCTTTTTTAATCTAAAATCAAACATTCAGCAAGACAGTGAGATGAGACAGTATAATACAATACAACAGCAGAACGATGTAACTCTGAGAAATCAAGGGATGAATGCTGCCTTTCAACCATGAAACCTGCTAGTCGCTGCTGTTACTGCAGCTCCTGGCTGATGTCTTCAAATAAAAAAAAGCATACAACCTGTTTTGTTTTCTACTCTCTTGCCAGCACCAGTAATGAGCTCTCTGTGGTCCCAGGACTTAAGTTACATAACCTTTGAGCATCTGATGCTTTGTCTGTATGGTTCGAGGGAGTAAAAATACACTTACACACCATATAACTTGGTCTTGATGTGCTATAACTGCCGTTCATTAAAGGAAAGTCTAGTAGCAGTTACTTCAGCAAGAAGCATGACACACCAAACCCGATATTCAGTGCTATTCCCTCCCTTCCCCCACTCAGATAAATTAAGATACACACTCATGCCAACCAACTCACACACACACACACACACCTGTGTGACATTTCCTCAGGTGGGTCGTATGATCATTGGACACCACGGGACGATGTCCACACCTGCCATCTCCTGTGTAATCAGGAAATACAAAGCCATCGGCGGCATCATCCTCACTGCCAGCCACAACCCTGGTGGACCTGATGGAGACTTTGGCATTAAGTTCAATACTGCAAATGGAGGTATGGTAACTGGAGAGGAGGAGGCATGCAGGGGCATCAGCCAAGTGAAAAAATAGTGTTACGAGTGAAGTTAACAAGGCCTCATTCGGATATGTGGCACAGACACGGTAATAAGATATTGTTTGAGAATTGTCTGGACGTAAAATCTGGGACAAAGTACATCGAAAGATCTGCATGGTTTTACCAACAGATATCCCAAAACAACCCTGAATGTTATCACCACTATACTGAATGTGTATAGTACACCAGTACAAAATATCAAATGTAATATCATAGATTTTCTACTGCATCCAGGCCCAGCCAAGGAGGCTGTCACAAACAAGATCTTTCAGATCAGCAGGACCATTGAGGAGTTTGCCATCTGCCCTGGACTGCATGTGGATTTGACAACCCTGGGCAAACAGATGTTTGATCTGGAAAACAAGTTCAAACCATTCACAGGTGAAGCATTAGTCTGGAATTAGGAGAGCATGGAGGCAAGATGAGAAAAAAGGATGGTGGATGAATGAGACTGTAAAATCGGACTCACTGAATTGGTCATGTGACACATTTTTGCCATTCATTAGAATGAACGATCACTGTAATGTTTATGATGGCATGTTCATGATGGCATGTGAATTCATTCATTTAAACTGTGTTTCTCATCTGTGGTGTCCAGTGGAGATTGTGGACTCTGTGGAATCGTACGCTAACTTGTTGAGGAACATCTTTGACTTTGCTGCTCTGAAGGATCTTCTATCTGGTGAAGAACACATCAAGATAAGAATAGATGCCATGCATGGAGGTGAGAGAATATTTACCAACAGCATGTAATCTCATCGAGATACTTTTAAATATGTTGATTACCTTTACTTCAAAGTAGAACAAAATAATTTAAATAAAGATAAGACATTTGTAGATATATATAAATCATTTTAAAACATGAATAAACAAGTGTTGTTGTAGGCTTTGAAATAACTCTGGACTAGTGGTATGGGGTTATAGGAACTGTTGACTTTGGAGTGATTCATAACGATGAAGTTACTAAATGCTATTTAGGAGCGTCCCTAAACACTGAAACTGAAACTAATGGGTGAACAGTCCCCACATCCCCCTCGTCACCCCTTCACAGGAAGTCATGAGTATAGTTATTTATAGGGTAAATATTTTGACATGATAGCCCACCTCTATCCTTGTGACCCCTGACTTTCTCTCCATCTCATTCAGTCTCAAAACAAGTTATAACTTATTTGTGATGATAGTCAGATTTCAGACAGCGCCACGCTGTTTCCTCTCTTTGTGCAGACCTAAGCTAAGCAGCTGATGGCGGTAGCGTCATATTTACCGTACAATTGGCGTCAATCTTCTCATTTAACTCTTGTCAAGAGAGCAAATAAGTGTATTTCCCAAAATTGGTTTTCATTGTTGTTTTAGAATGCCAATGGTGCCACTTCTTGCAAAACAATATGTTACTTCAGTAGTTCATTGTCTTTATAGCAGTCTTCTCTCATCACCAGTGGTAGGACTGTATGTGAGGAGAATACTCTGCGAGGAGCTGGGCTGCCCTGTCACTTCTGCAATCAACTGTGTTCCATTGGAGGACTTTGGGGGTCAACACCCAGATCCTAACCTCACCTATGCAGCAGATCTGGTTGACAGCATGAGGGACGGACAGTATGATTTTGGTGTAGCATTTGATGGTGATGGGGTTCGTGTCCTATTACTTGTCTCTTTCTTTAGATTGTCTGAAATAAAATAAAAAGAACCTTCTCATCCCTGTCTGTCTGGCTTTCTAGGACCGTAACATGATCCTTGGTAAACGCGGCTTCTTCGTCCCCCCACCTGACTCTGTGGCTGTGATTGCTGACAACATCTTCTGCATCCCTTACTTCCAACATACAGGGGTGAGAGGCTTCGCCCGCAGCATGCCCACAAGTGCAGCCTTAGACAGGTAAAAATACAGCCTGGCTCGGTTTCACATCACCGCCACAACCAATGACACAGGAATTTTCAACTTACAACACTTTTGGCACAAATAGATTTGAATAAGATCAAATCATTGCATTTAACATGCAAATGTGACATTAATAAAAACAATGGTAATTTTTTTGCTGCTTCAAAGGTTCACTGTACTCTTTCAATGTATTTCCTGCAGAGTAGCCAAGGCAACAAAAATAGAGTTGTATGAAACTCCCACTGGGTGGAAATTCTTTGGGAACCTAATGGACGCAGGCCGACTGTCTTTGTGTGGGGAAGAAAGCTTTGGTACAGGTACTGTATCTCTTCAGCAAGTTATTAGATCAAACTATTTTAATTAACTTAGTATGTGGGGGGGAAAGACTCTAGTTGAATTATCATGCTTTTCTTTTCTGTGCATGGTGAACCTAATCACATATCCTCTTTCAGGTGGAGACCATATTCGTGAGAAGGATGGGCTTTGGGCCGTGCTGGCATGGCTGTCCATCCTGGCCACTAGAAAGCAGAGTGTGGAGGATATCCTGAAGGACCATTGGCTAAAATACGGAAGGAACTACTTTACCAGGTGGGATGTCGACACATTTGTGATCTGTGTTTGTGTGCATTCCGAGTTGTACTCCATCAACCATCAAAGCCACCAAAACACACAGCTAACCAGAAAATGTCTAAGTGGACATAATGTACATTGTTGATTTGATATAGATGGAAGGTGGACTGATTATACAGATACATGTTAAGAAGATACATACATAACATGACTGACATCTAGTGGAACATATGTACCAGTACATATTCTTTCAAGGCCTGAACTGTCTCGTTAGTAAATGCAAATGCACATGATGCTGTCAGCACTCTCCTAAATTCTTAATTTACCTATGTGGACATATACTGTGACCAGATACATTATGAGCTTAAGACTGATGATATCTGCCCATTGTATTAAATTTACTCTAAAATGTTGGGCTGTCTTCACTCCCTTCATCAAAATAATACAACACAAACTTGCAGCAATAAAGCACTTATTCTTTTAATAGTGATGTTGTTTTTTGACCAGATATGACTATGAGAACGTAGACATAGATGCAGCCTGTGAGATGATGGAGGATTTGGAGATTATGATCGTGGACAAGTCCTTTGTGAAGCAGAGATTTGCCGTGGAAGACAAAATCTACCAAGTGGAAAAAGCAGACAACTTTGAGTACACAGACCCGGTCGACAGCACCATATCCAGGAACCAGGTACATGACACACTGAGTATAATGACAACGTTTTTGTGTGGACAGTTACTGGATGTAACCACTGGTCTCTTGGCACTGGAGCCACTCAGCTGTGCCTGCCGATCCTAAAAGTTTCACATGTCTTTACCGGGCTGTTTTCACCGCAGGGTCTGCGGATAATCTTCTCTGATGGCTCTCGAATCATCTACAGACTCAGTGGGACAGGTTGTGATGTGGCGACAGTTCGAATCTACATAGACAGCTATGAGAAGGAGCAAATCTTAAAAGACGCACAGGTAAAAAAAATCTCACTTAAAATTATTTCAGGACTAATTTGGCTAAATAGTCCACAATACTAAAAAATCTTATGATTTGCATGAAACATATGAGGTGAAGTGATATGTGGTTGAGAGGAACAGGAGAGGCATACTGTACGCTCACATATCAGACCATACACTCCCAAATGGCCAACAGACAAATGTGCAAAACAGTCAGTTTGCCAGTTTAGGAAAGGAGGTTATTTTATTTTATTTACTGCAATTGAACCCCCTTTGACCAGCACTGCCCCCCTTTTTCTTTCAATGAATTTGTGGAAAGATGAGTGAAGTTGGCCTTCGGGGCTTTTTGCTATAAAGCCTTTTCTGGCAGGAAGCTTTAAAGACAAACTTGTGTGCCACCACCACCACACACTTGACCTTTCACCTTTGTGTGTTTACCTACATCTGTAAAAGGATGGGCATTGCTCATTGTTTACATAGCGACAGCATCATCCTCTTCAGCAAGTTGAAGACTCTTTTAGTTGCTAAGATTGTACAAGTCAGATGTTACAAAACTGACTAGTAAGACAACGGTCCTATTTTTTTTAGAGTCGGTCAAACAGTCTAAAACGGTGCAAGTTAAATACTGTATTGTATTTTTTTTGGTTTATGTGTGACGTGTTAACAAGTGGGAACACAAACACAATAAACCAGCATTTTCTTTGCTGGCATGTGACTTTTTGTTTTATATTATCTTATAATTTCATATCAACTTCTCAATTTGCTCATTTTTATTACTGGTAGTTCTAGTTAACCAAACCAGATTTCTCTCTTAGGTAGCTTTCCTGTAGTTCAACTTCTTCCAGTGTGGAGTGATTGGTATCTTTCCAAGCTATGCTTTTAAAGTAACATCTGCAACTCTGTCCTGCTTATTGTTAAATATGTATGAGGAAATGCATGAGTGGCATATGGCAGCCAGGTGCATGTGTCTCTGACCATATAATTCTTGTTTGGGACAGGTGATGCTGGCACCCCTGGCAACCATCGCACTGAAGATTTCCCAGCTCCATCACAGGACGGGTCGAAGTGGCCCATCAGTCATCACATGATTCCTCCCATTTGTTACTCCATCATTGCTAAACTAATGCCCTTTTTGTTGTTCTTTCCAGATTTTTGTATAAGCTGAGCTTTAACTCCAAGTGTAGCTGCACAACATGAAGCAGTTTGCATTTTAGGCTAAAATATATTCAGTGTTTTTCTCTGTTCTACATTAAACTGCTTTTTATTTTTGGGCCATTTGTGATCTTTGTGTCTTACAGATACAAATATATTTCAATTTCTCTTGGGTTATCTGTGATTTATAGTTACCTTTATCTTAATAATTATATATCTTAAACTTCTTTTCTGCAGGAGACATTTAAGCTGTCTTAGGAAACATTTTAAAAGAGACGTTTCCAGCTCTGGTGTCGACATGATATCCATCTGGAGAGCAGCAGCATCAGTCCGCTAACATCTGGTCCAGCTCTGTGATCACAAATGCCCTTTGAAGTACTGTACCTTTCTCTTGGTTTCATCTCCATATTACAGTGAACCTGAAGCCCAACAAGAGGGAGACACGCTGAGTTTAGCTCTGGTTCATCTGAGGTCATTTTTGAGAATGCACGACTTTTGTGAAAAAAAAAAAGTCTTCAAAACTAGTTTTTTTGGTCGACTTTGTCTCCTTTTGCAATAATGCATAACCTCTTGACCCAAAAATGCAAAATCATGGTATACACATCTCTTTGATTCAGGACAAACTGGGCAATCAGAATATGCACGACGGCAATGTAACATGATAGAATAAATAGTTATATCACCATAAATACAAACGAAAAACAAAATTGCAAATTGAATCTCAGATAACGTAACACAATGGTTTAGGACTTTTGGCTTTTGTGACCAGGGAAAAAAAATAAACATTGTCGCCAACACAGATCAAAATATATTTACATCATAGAAGCCAAATCAAAATGTGTCCAAATAACATCTATATCTGAGATTATTATCGTTATTATGGCTCGAAAGGATCCGTCTTCTGTAATGTATGGTTCACGAGAGTTTGTGTTCATATGTTTACGTTTGGCAGGCAGCCAGGATCGCTACACTTACAGGATGGTTGCTTGCAGTTTGCTGCATGACACGTTTACATCTTATACAGCCATATGGTCTGTGTGCTCATTTGAATGCAGTATGTAATTTGTCTAAGTAGAGCTGTCAGATATTTACAGATAGATAGTAAAGTGTATTCCCATAAGAAATGTAGATGTATTTAAAAAAAAAGGATACAACAGAAATACTGAAGTAAAGTACAAGTTCCTAAGAAATGTACATTAAGTACAGTAAGTAACATTTACACCACGGATATCACGTGGGTGTTAATCAAGCCCCCACGCACAGTGCTGCATGATGCCCTGCTCCTCATCAGAAGGGATTGCAACAACCATGGGAGGAAACTGTATTTGATTGACAAGAACTTTTAATGAATGTGTCTGCAAGCGGCTAATGATGGGAGACGAGGAGTCTGGTGGTGTTCAGGTGTGTCTGCATGTTCAGCACGCGGTTGGCAATGCCGTTTAATTAAATCTTGGGCTGACTGCTACTGTCGCTTTAAGACAGCCACCTGACAAAGAAGGAAAACCCGATGGAGGAAGCAGGAAGTTGGTCTACCAAGAAAGAAAAGGAGAGCCTGAGCACATAAACAAAACACGAAGAAGGAGATCAAAAGTCAAACAGGAACTTTCACACATTTATCGCAATGGCCGGAATTAAAGGTATTGTATTCTAGGCGTTATGAGTCAGTCGACAGCTGAGATTTACGTTCGTTTAGTTACGATGACGTTGATGCTTCACATACTTTGTTACCATAGTTGTGTGTGTTTTTGCAACAATGTTGCTCTCTCGTTTCGAAAGCTATCAATGCAACACCGCTGAAGGACATTCGGGTTTGTTACAAGCTACCATGTTAGTTCCGTTATTAAGTTATCAACCTGTTTTAAGTTATTATTTATTCACAGGAAATGTATCTTAAAAGTTAACCTGGCATACAAACGGATTCCACAGCAAGTGTTACAAGCATAACGTGACGTTAGCTTATGTCTGTTTTGTATCTTATTGTAACTTTGGACACAGCAGTTAAGCGTGTGTAATGTAATGTAACGCTAATAGGATGTTTCTCTCGTTTCAGCGCTGGTTGGTTTGTCCTTCAGTGGTGCCATTGGGCTTACGTTTCTTCTTCTGGGCTGTGCACTGGAACAGTACGGGTAGGTTATTTGTTTTATTACGTATCTATGTTATTGTATCACATAGACCTTGGTTAACATGCAATATTGAGGCTTAAATGGATTGTTAAAACAGTGAAGAGGCAGTTAATCAGAGAGATATGCAAAACAGGCAGTTAACAAAATTCTCAGAAATGCCCTGTCTGGCTTACACTTACATTAAGTTGATGGACTTTTAAGAGGAACATTTAAAAAAGACTGGTCAAAGTCAATGCTGCAGAGAATGAGAAATGTAGTCCCTTTGTATGGATCAAGCTCCAGACATGAATCCTACAATTTCCATTATGTATCTCAATAGCGTATTTCATTAGAGCCCCCCTGCCCTCTAAATGCCCACTCCTTTAAAGCCCCATACTCTGTTTGTCATGCAGGCTTTCTGTTGAAGGATTTTAAACCTCGAGGCCAAGCTGAGATAACTCTGATGTCATTAGGGCTATTTGTCCGACTTAGTCACATAAGACATTATACAATCGTTTTTACAGGCAGTAATACTTCTCAAAACAGGTAAACTGGGCTTCGTTTTCGCAATGCCCCTTTTAAAATGTTTCATTCTGTTGTGATTTGTTTTGGCACAATGTTTTTTTTTCTTGAATTTGCTGCAACTGCAAACTCATGCCATCGCGTATCACAAAATGTGGACCATGCTTTTAACTGTTCCCCATCTGATTCTTTAGGGTATACTGGCCGCTGTTTGTCCTGATGTTCTACATATTAAGCCCCATCCCGACCTTCATATCCAGACGCCTCAGTGATGACACTGACTCCTCCAGTAATGCATGCAGAGAGCTGGCCTACTTCTTAACAACTGGCATCGTGGTATCATCTTTTGGGCTTCCCATTGTGCTAGCCCGCAATACCACAGTGAGTTCTCTCTTTACAGCCGCCCTCATTAGCTTGTATTTGTTTGTGTAGATATGTCAGTGTTGTGTGCACCACATCAATTGTTAGCATATTTCAAATGCACTTTTTCTTGAGAGATGTACACTGTGCCAGCAGAGCATTGTGGAAAACCTGTAGATTTATTTTTGGGCTGATTCAGGATGAATATTTTCCTCCAACAGATCCAGTGGGGTGCCTGTGGTCTGGTGATGACAGGAAACGCTGTCATCTTCCTCACCATCTTTGGTTTTTTTGTCGTGTTTGGAGGTGGGGACGACTTCAGCTGGGAGCAGTGGTAAAGCGCCTTCAGACGGTGGATAGACAGATGGATGGGTGGATAGACGGCAGACTGAGGGGAGTACGTGTCCTAGGGGATGACGCTCATGTACATTGTATGCTGCAAAAATGTCAACTTTACTGGGCATGTTTTCAGGCCGATTTTTATATTAAAGGGTGTCAGGGTTGGAGACAACAATATGTATCCCATTAATGTGCCTTATGTCTAGAACCAGAGAGACACTGATGCCCATCCACCTTCACCCATGTATTTTAGCTTGTCTCGCCTTTATTCCAACCCCCAAATCCCCCTGCTTATTGCAGCTGCCTGCTATTTCATTATGCTTCAGTTAATCAATATCATATTGGGATCCTAAAGAGTAACTATATTGTAATGTACACTAAGATGCTCACTGCACTATCTGTCCTCATTGCTCATGGCAGGATTGGCTTTACTGAATTATGGTTTGCTTATTATCTAGCACTGTCTGCTGTTTAAAGTGTGAAGGCAGGGCAAGTTATCTTAATCCAAGCTAACTAGTTGTAGGACTCCTTATCAGGTAAAAGATATATTTGTATGGAGATTGTGTGTGTGTGTGTGTTTTTGTTTGTTTTCATTTTGCGACAAGACTGCAAAGCCTTACTTTTTGTTCTGGTGCAATTGTTTACATTCTCACCAAAGATCATTTTGAGTGCAAAAAATGGAACATATTCACCCTCGAACTGTGGATTTTGATCTGAAAGCGCTGTGTAGTGAAAATCATACATCTAAGATTCTATATTCAATTATTGTGTGAACAGGCCTGAAGAAGCACCCATATCCATTTTATATTCCTGCAGATGACAAAGAAATTCATACAATTGAGCCACTAAGAGCATGATATTAATTTGTGAATATTTTTGACATGTTGAATAGTAAATATGGGAGAAACATGTTTTTGGGCCACGTGTTTTTCCCAAAAAGGAGAGGGCTTTACCTGCAAGCTCGTTCGTAAGTGCCTGACGTCCAGTGTATATTTTGATTAATAGAGAAATCACTGTGATTTGGTTTTGAGTCGGATTTTTGGGTTTCATCATCATCCTCATCAGGGGCCATTGACATTTGTAGTTGTAAAATCAATATAACATAATCATGTTCTATGTCATCATTGCCAGTAACTGACTTTTAATGAGGTTCTGAAGTTTGTATGATTAGCCCACTCGACTATCACAGAAAATCTCACTTGGTGTCCAGTATAATTTCTGATTTCCCAATTCCTTAACTGCTTTTTGAGGGAAATATTATACTGTGTGTCTCAGAACTGACATGTAAAGAAAGCTTTCTATTGTGACTCCCATACTCACACTAATGACTTCTCAAGAGTTATTTTATTAGCTCCTGGTTACATTTTGTTTTCTAACATTGATTAAAACTCCCTATATAATGAAACAAACTCTGTCTTGCTGTTTATTGCTGGTGTGTGAAGTGATGGAGATCTGACTTATGTAAGGCTTGTCTGGGTGGTCGTGATGGATATATGTGGACCGTATAGCACAGCAGCAAAAACCTCGAGACACAGACTGTGAAAGAAGCAGAGGTGTTGTGTGTGTGTGTGTGTTAGGATCAATTCTGTCTGGCCAGACTTTGCGAGCATACACAGGTCTGCCTGACAGGCCTGAACTTCAAGTGTGAGCATCTGCTAAATCATTTAGACATTTTGCAATATTCAATAAGCGGTGTGCAAAACAGCTCCATGTTTTGCCTAACAGCGCATTGTTTTCACTGAGGAACATCTGTCTGCCTCCCCGTCTGTTTTGATCTTTCCAAACACTGCAACATTAATATTGAATACGTGATTCACAGCGTTGCTGTTGTGAGTAAGCTGCATAGAAAAAGACTGATAAAAGCCAGCATTCTATATTCAGGGTTAAATAGGATGTGATAGAAAACAACCGTGCAGCTGCATGCAACTTGAGTTACTCATTCGTTGTTGACTAGTGTCAGGAATGCAGCTGCCTCACCAATTTGCGTGTTAAGCCGAGTGCGTTTCCCACCGCTCTCTGCAAATTAATGATTATTTCTATGAAAACCATCTGTGTTGTCGCCTTCCAGTGATTGCATTTCACAAGGGGACGATAACGCGCGTACGGACTAACTTCCCACAGAAAGGTTAGCTCTGTATCAGTGCTGCTGTGTGAAAAGCACTTAAGAAGAAGATTTGCAAAAGTCTGTATGTGTGCAATAGATAATGTGTAAATGCTTGGTTGTATAAAGTTTAAGAAATTAGTTGACATATTGAAGATTACAGGATAAATTGGTCTCTGGAGGTTGATAAAAGAAAGGGGTGAGAGCATACTGTTTCACAGTAGAATACTGTTACTGTGAAAATCACAGGAATGAAGTCGCAATTGTAAAAAATCACAAAGGATATATAAAAGAAAATAACAAAGGCTGTAGTAGACAGGAAATCTCAATTCCCAAAAAAACGTGATTGGAAACCGCGTGTAGGTTGCACTGGACCATATCCCGGCCCCATTAAGCCAGGTATTGAAGGTTCTTATACAGTATGTGAAACCCTAAAACTCCACCCCTATAGCTATGATTGTGAGCCATGACTGGTGTGTTTCCCATGAAAATTACTTGTGTTTTTTGCAGTAATACTTCTACTTTAAGCAGACATTTGGAAAGTACTCTGTTTTATTGTACAGTTACATTTGTTACTTTAATTTAAAAAAACACAATAAGAGTAGGTTACTCGTCAATTGCTGCCAGTTAACTGTGAATTTCACGATAAGTCTCTTGCGGTCCATCAGAGCAAGAGAGAGACCTCATGTTGGCTGTGGATCAAGGTGGGCCGTCTACATATTTCAAAAGGAAAAGCTGGTTATTGATCAACCGTGGCTCAGTTACTTTGGTAAGAAAAGTGTTTAAAAAGTAAGTACTGCCGCTACACCACTGATATTGAGACCATGTGAATAAGAAGTTGTGCATATGTCCCAAAAACCCATAACGTGGCACATTGATGGGCCCTACTTGTCTGTTGAGTGAGTGAAAAAGTCAAACAGTGTTTTATTCTACGTGAGAGAGAGAGAGAGAGAGAGAGAGAAGAACAAAAGATGAAGGTGAAGACGGAGATGAATGAAGCCCAGGGACACCCATTCATCTCTGTTCCACGACAGCTGTTGCTTGGCAACAGCAAAGGCATCAAGATCGCTCCAAAAGACTGCTCAGCGGTCTTGAACACAACACATAACCCAATGCAACACAGCACATTATATAGTTGTGTGATACTGTAATATAAGTCTATTACACTACACAAAAAAACAGACAGATAGATGATATAGATAGCTATACATAGATGCATGGATATTGTAATATACGATGGCATTTTTAATAGGGTACTAATTTAAAAACTTCTGATCATTATTTTTATCTTGGTTTTAATGTTAACATTTTATTGCAACTTCCCTCTGGAACACTGTGCTCTCTAATGAGATACATGAAGTGCCTACAGCAGTTTAACTTTGTCTCACTAAGTCATAGGCGATGTGGATAACTATTTGGGGAGACAATCAACTAAAACACAGCAGGGAGTCAATACACGATAGAGAGCCGGAGGGTTGTGGAGTGTGTGTGTGTGTGTGTGTGAGTGGGGGGGTTGTAGCTCCATTAAACTGGTGAAGCAGACGCATCCACACAATGCTCTCCGCTGGCAGGGATTCAAATGGACGCAGGGCAGTAGTGGGAAGGAAGGGAGGGCGTGCGCACTGGCAGCCATTGGTAAACGGAAGGATTTGCGTCGTCAGTGTCAAAGCCAATCGATGCGCTCTTGGGGTCGGGTATGGGAACGAGCGCGAATGGCACAAATGGAACCTGATAAAAAGGGGCGCGTGCTTCAGAAGCGCGGCAGAGAAACGGGAGACCACACGGTTTACCACAACCACACCAGCGCGTGGGACAGCAGATAATCCCCTCGGTAAGTCCGCATGTAAACCGTCCTGCGAGAAAGACATATGGCTCAATGTGCCTCCGAGCGAAAAAGGGGAATACATGTTTATTTTTGTATAGCTGTTTATTGACCTCATCGGGTAATAATTGGGTGGATCAACAGCATAAATCCATCGAAAGTAAATTATACTAAGGGAATGTTGTTGCTCCCAAGGTTTGCAAAACAATATGTTTTACGATGCTCAGGTGGCGTCATTTGAGCTGCACAGAAGCTATTCGAGGAAACGTGAGGCACTCAAATATGTTGAGTTGCACTGAAAGGTCTTTTGATTCAGTCATATCACGTAGGCTTATCGTCTGTACGTAGGCTTCATCTCTCTCAGGACTTTGCATTGTGGGCATCTCTCCTCCTTTTGTCAGCTGACCCGTTCAGTTTTACTCGGTGTGTACTTTGAAACACATTTCTAAAGGAAGGGCGTGCGACTCTGGAAACTATAGCCTGCACAAATGTTTGGATGATGATGAGGTCAGGCAAGGTAAAAGGTGGGGGGGGGGGGGGGAGTGAATATTTTGCGTAAGTGGAGACATTGGAGGGGTTGCTGGAGTGGTCACTCTACAACCAAGTGTTTTATAGTCCATTATACAATCAATCACTGTCCATTTGGCAAAGAAGTCTGAGTTAAATGAGGTCCACCATCGACATCCAGAAAATAAATGGCACTATTTAGGCCCTTTATTTCACCCGAGTAGAAATCAACATCATATCGCTGCTGGGACTTAATGTGACTGACTTGTATCAATATAGAGACTCAATAGTGACCTTTTTATAGGCCGTGTTAGAGGGGAGACTGTGGGTGATTGTAACAGTTTGTTATTCGTCTTCTCCATGGTAGCGATTGGTGGTGCTTAACCTTTTAAAATGTATATTAAAGCTACCACAATTGGTGTCCACAGCAAGGTTTATTTACTGAGATAATGTAAGGATAAAACCAAAGTGTTCCACTGTCGTAACACTGTCGTCCTTGCTTGCTGCATTGGGGCACATGCATCGTGGTTTTTACACCGTGAAATGAACACGGAAATATGTGCACGCAAAAGTATCAATCCAGCTGAAATAACTGGGATTGGCATGTGTAGCTAGTTGTTGTCTTTGAAGTCTAAATGTAAAATTCACAACAAGTGTGAGGTATTGTCAGTGCAGTTGAAACATATTCCCTGATAATGTGTTCATGAACACATTCTTTTTCCAGTGTCGCACGTTTAACATTCAAACCTGATTTATTATTCAGTTTAACTTCTTAAAATCTTTCATGTATGCGTGGGTTTGTGGGCAGCAGAATTAAGTACAGCAGAACCATGAAGCTTCTTCACTGAGGTTAGTAAGAGGGGATTATGAATGCTGGTCACACACCACAGCAGTTCATCTCTGCCCGTTCTCATGGACATCGCCTTACGAATGTCTCAGCTACCACAATAACATTCCAACTCTACTGGTGCCTGAACATCGGCTAAGATGTGCACAGATCTTACAATGTCTCCACTGTTTTTACAATAAGCTCTATTTAAATTTCAAAACGTGTTTTTCTTTTACAAATGTTTTTTTTTAGAGCTGTGAATCAGTTTGCCATCACATGCAAGCTCTTAGCTGTAGTAACATTTCTCTTGTGTGACATACTATCATGTTACATTTTAGGAAGAGATTTCAGAGGTGCGCTTCCTTTTTAGCCCAGTTCACAGCATTTCTGTAGTGCCCCGGGCATGTGGTGCGTGGACTCAGCTGGCCGCTGTCCTTTTATTCTCAGTCAGCGCTGAAACAACAGAGTACATACATCCAGCTTCTTCTCAAAAGGGCTTCGGCTACCAGACTGATGACTCACTTTACTGGCTTGTTGGTGGCTTTACTGGTGTTACTATAGAGCATTTTCTGTTGCTGAACACTGATGTTCCGCTTCCAGATGATGAATACATGGCGTGTCTGCGCTAAGCAGTTAGGTTTGCAGACTGGGCGAGTGTTTGTCATCGTGGGAACTGTCATTTTTCATAAAAAACAACCCCAAAATAACAGCTGATTGTGAATACAGCAAGCGTTGTGTGCATGTGCATGTGTATGCACTGAATGGTTATCTGAACTGTGATTGTAATAACAGTCATGCATTTACACGTCTCAGTGCTTCCACTGTTATAGCTCCACTCTTTTCCTCCAACTCTGACTTGTCAATAGTTATTATATTCATTTATTTACTGTGAAATCATGTGTAAATACATCCATGTGTCCCTTCTATGCTTGTCAGAGGGAAATATGTTTCCCCTTTTGTGATATTGTCAGGAGTCCTTGTTGCTGATCAATCACATTTCTGCTGGCCTATATTATTGGCTGTTTTTTTGCTGTGATATGTGTAATCCATACATTGTTCGTCTTTCAGGTCGACAGTCTGCTGACGTGAATTCTCGCCCATCCTCTCAACACTGGCTCAAGGAGAAGAGGTTCAGCTGTGAATACATTTTATTATAGTGTCTGGGTGGGAATATGGTGAAAAAGGCTTCCAGCTAAAAAGTAAGTGGTGTGAAAGATTTATTCATTGGTTTTCAAGCAGAACATGTTATTTTTCCATGTGCTATGGAGCTATTGGTTGAAATAAACAACACTAAGTCTACAGCACATTAGGTTAGTCAGTATTAAAGATGATCCTTTCTAGCATTTGTAACATTTGTACCGCAATCCACAAAGAAATAGTTTTTGATGTCCGCCACTCGTGTGTCCCACGGAACAGATACTTAGATTTAGGGGTACCAAATGTATAACTGTCACATACCACCCCCGGTAGGTTTGGTTCTCCAGAAGACCATCAATAGATGTATAACAATAAACACAAGAGTACTCATTCTATGTTAGCATACGTTTTATTTATGTGTTATTTACACTGGCCATGACCTCTCTCGTGGTATAAATGTAGGGTGAAAGTTGTACAGTGGGGGGGGGGGTCCAGGATTAATATTATAGGGGCACTGCCCACCCACCCTTTACCCATTACTCTCACAGAGACCCCTCAGGTTTTTTCACGCTTCAAATCTATTTGTGTCAGGTTTAGTCGAGTACTCTGCATAGACAGCTGTTTAAATCACTCTTGAATATCCCGCTGTATACGTCTATTGAACTTATTAACAGCATCTACAGGGATTGATCAAGGCTCCCAGTCTGTCTGTGAGCTTGTCTGTGAGCTTCAGGCAGATTCCACTAATTCGCTTCGGTGGGCGAATCTCACGTCACGGCTTTCGTCTCGCTTCCAACGGGAGCTTCTCAGAAAGATCAGGTGTAGTGGTGCAACAGGGGAAAATGACTGTGGGGCGACATTACTTTCTGATTCGTTGATTGAGTGTTTCGATGGCATTTACTGGAAGGAACGCCAGGCTGCAGCACATGAAAAAATGAACTTGCTTGACGTCATTATGTATGACTTTCCAAACAGATTTATTCAATTTGTTTGTTACGACCCACTTTAACCCGGCATATATGTATGAATGTGATTGGGAGCATGCCCTTGCAGCCCTGATATAGATATTAATACAGATTTACTGATTGATTCACTTCAACCTCAGAGTGTCTCAAAGGAGCACAGGTCAAAGCAGCACACTGATTCATTTCTGTCTCGGCTGTCATCTGAGGGATTTACAGCCATGTTGACATGGAGGGTGCCAACTGGTGACACTCACCAAAGGCCCCCTCTGTGCCCCGAATCCTGCCAACTCTGCCAAGCCTTCTGTTACCTCCTTACTCTCCAAGTCATTTGTTATAATTCACCCCAAAAGCTTTAATCATTGTAGCTGGCAATGGCAAGGTTTGTGAATGGATAACTGATGAAGTGCTGACACAGACAGTACTTCAATCACGATACCTCCAATGGAAGTTGAACTGGGCGATTTGAGTACGTTGGGGTAATTAGTTTATGTGTGTGTGGGTGTTTAACGCCGTCATAATTATTGGGCTGTTCAAACTCCAATCAAGTGATTCATCCAGAGTCACAGTTGCCATGTGTCCTGGCCCACCAATTATTTCTCATTTCTTTCTTTTATCTTTTAAATGGTTTGATAGGTCTCTGACATAGCGCATAGTTGAACAGCACTACATGTAAGTAAACCAATTCGTGTTTAGCAATCAATTTGTTGCCTTTGTTACATGTTTTTGCCGGTTTCTTACATTTGTCTTTCCGTTTTAAGTAAAACGCTTCTGTGTGTATTTGGGCACAGCAGTCACCGACCTCTCGTTGCTGGGGTAACCTGAAGGCTTATTTCATCCATCTTATTTTCCTTTTACTGGTCATTAACCAGTAGTAGGCTGGGTAGTGTAGTAGCCTTAGGTCCTAGCTGGGTTAGCCTAGCTCCCATCTCGGCTCTCCTCCCCGGGGCAGTTGACTTCGCTTTCGGTGGTGTTTGGTCTGGCAGGTATTGCTCGGTGGTCCACGGTGGGCGGTGATCGTCTCAAGGTCTGCTGCACTTTATCCAATCCCCGCACTTCCTTTTCTGATGTTGATTAATGTACAGTATTCTGTCATTTGACACAAGTGCTACAGCAATTAAACACGAAAACACAACAAATCAAATTCATGGGAGCTCCTGGCCGCAGCATGTACACGCACCAGCGTTGCCATATTTATATTTGTTTGCTACATCCTAAACCAATAAAGACAGTTTGTACTGTGTTTGAAAGAGCAACTTTCTCATGACTCGATTAGGGATGATATTTGCCTCGGCAATATGACAAACAAATGGTCTTCTGACAAGTAGCCCGATTGAAACGGACTCAGAGTCTCTCTCTCTCTGTCTCTCTCTGTATGTGTGTGTGTGTGTGTGTGTGTGCGTGTGTGTGTGTGTGCGTGTGTGCGTGTGTGTGTCTGTGCAATGGGTTCCCTGCATGTGGCCTCCACGCTGACATCATCTCTCAGCTGCCACAAATGTGTGTTGTTTCGCTTCCTCCTCAACAAACTCCTCCCAGCGTTCACCCGTCTCAAAAGTTCCTTTCTACTGGAGTCTGCTTCACTGCACTGAATGCAAACACAAAAAGCAAAGTTTCCATTGTGGCTGTTGGGATTCTTTTAGCGACAAGTTATTCAAGTTGACAAGTGTTTGACATTTTCATAGAGCTAATATGGCTTTGGGGTGAGTGTTAGAAACAATGGACAACTGTTGAATGATGTTTGATAGGTTTCTACTTAGATTACATGATAGAAGCAATTATGTTGACTTTATTGAGCTAGTTATTCTTGTCGATCAATGGAGGAGCTCTGGCGATGTAAACTTTGTCTGTCCCTCTCTCTGTCATAGATGTAGACATAATACTTTTAATAAGCTAGAATGTATAAATTAATTTATGGTTGTTATTATTGCAATTCTGACACCTGCAAGAAGTGCATCAGCTGCTTTGTGTGTCGGACATGCCCACACAAACGGTGTGGGAACGAGGGATAAGATTAGAAAAGAGTTTTTGCCTTAAAACATTTAATATTTATGTGGTGTATGAATTACATTAAAATGGATTTGTCAAAATTTTGATCTAATCTGCAGATGGGACCAAAGAGACCTGACCTGACTAGCAAACGGCACCCAGTGAATACAGCTGGCGTGTTGTAGCTGTTCATGGGAGTCTGCTAGCAACCTCAGCGTTTCCCCAACCATTATATTAGGGGGGCGCCCCGCATCCCTTTGAAGATCAATTTAATTTAATTTTATTTTCTATATAGCGCCAGATCACAACAGAAGTCATTTAAGGTTACCTTTCCTGTAGAACAGGTCTACACCGTGTTCTGTTATTAAACAAACTAAATAGCCTTATGCTATTTATCTTATTTACACGACGGCATGTCATTTCTCTCTCTACATGGTCGCGCGTTGACAATTCTCCTCTCTGCTCTCTGTATCGTGCACAGCGGAGTTCCGCCCAGATGCATGCATGCACACACACGCACACACACACGCACACACACAGACACGTGTGTTTTTTAAACGCTCCCATGTGGTGAAGATGGCAAGTGTTGCCTGCTGTCATTAAAAGACACACATGAACACCATGATCTCCCCCCCCCCCTGTAAACCCAGGGGAAACACTGAACCAGCAACTCAGTTTATAAATATTGTTTGTTTCTATATCGGATCAATTATTCATGTAGATATTTCAGAAATTAGCAAAATACAGTGTCAATAAGTCTGTCCATATCTGTGGGTCATATATTTTGTTTTAAATCAAATTCACCTGGTTATGTCTAGCTATGTTTGTAATACATTTTCAGCCACATAAATAGTCAGTAAGTGATCCAGTGTGTAGGTGTGATTTGCATTATGAGCAATAATACATTTGATTTTAATATTCGTTTTCTGTTGTCAACATGCATCATGCCATCTGTGCTGTTATAATGTAAATACTTTGACCGTTTAATCAAAAGACGACTGTGAGTTTGAAGACTTTGTGCTTCTGGCAGTTCAATCTGTAACTGGGGGCCAAAAGAGACGAGGTCTACCTTATTCTTCTTTTTCTTCTATTTGCTTTGACGGTGATTTTTTTTTTTTTAAGATTAGGAATCGAATATAAACAGGAAGATGCTTAAATGCTTTCAAAATGCAACATGATATCAGTAAAATGAGTGAGATGCAATATGATGGAACACTGAGGTCTGGTCTTTGAACTAAATATAAAGTGTAATGTGAGCTGTATCTCAGTTCAGTGAGCTGTGTTTCAGTCCTTTCAGTGAGAACCACAGCATTCTGTTGTTCAAGGTCAGAAGGAGAATCTGTTTGATCTTAGATGCATTTTCGTGGCGATAAAACAAGATTGCATAACCTCTTTTTATTTGGTCACAAAAGTTCAGCTCGGTGTCTAAACCTAAGGCTTCGTGGAGATATCTGGATGCTGAGCATCAGTGCCAGAAAAGCAATTTTTATATTGGTTTAGACACATGATGCTGTCACTGGACATCGGTGTTCAAATTACACTTCCCGATGTGTGAATAGAGTGCTGCAGGGATGATGTTTGTTGGCCAACCTGGAAGTTAGCATCGTACTGGTTCCCTCAACAAAAATCCAATGGGACATTGTAATTGGATTATTACATGTGTTGTTTGGGAACTGAAAAGTGCATAAATGCTGATTTATGTACAGTTTTGTGGACTCATTTCTGCACCACTCTATTAAGCGGGTGTTGGTGATGTTTTGATTGAATGGATGTGGGCAGGCCCAACAGACAAACAGCGTCGGCTGCAGTTTTCAACAGCTGTCTTGTCTTGTGACCAGTACTGCTTACTTCTCCATTTTGCACTCACAATTTGACAAGTGAATATTTTGAAGGGTTATACAGAATACATCGAAACTGGGTAAGTGAAGTCAATTTGCTTAATACATGCACCGTGCTATATGTTCTTGTCTTTTCTGAACGTTTCCTTCATACAACAGTAACTCTGACTTCTTTGGATGCTAATGAGTGACCACTGGAAAGTTAATTCATCGTGGTCGTGGCACACATGGCTTTGAAAGCTCTCATTGTTTGACGACAGAGTAACAGGACGTAATATTAACGGGGTTCCACGCATTGGTTTCTTGAGGCTTCTTTGTTTTGCCGTCTCAAAAGCTACCTTTGTGTGACCGCCCATCGATTTTAAATGTACAACAGCGACTGACTCGCCTTCCACAGCTCTCCATTGTGCACGGCAGCGGTGTGACATAGATTTGCTGGTCGTACGGGGCAAAAGTTCTCCCTGCAGCAATGCAGCCCCGCTGACCTTTTGATGTGAAATATGTGACAAAAGAGCAAACATTGGTTGTCATGGTTGCTTTGTGAATGCTGCCATGACAATGAAGGGTTGAATGATGGCGGATGAGTGCCGTATAGCAGATACCTTCATTCTTCATTCTCTATACCTACTTATTCTTGTTCAGGTTCAAAGGGGATGGGGGTTGATGTATCTTCCAGCATACACGGGGCAAACAAGGAGTTTTCAGTTCACTTAATGTACACTACACTACACACAAAACCTCTAATCGTACTAACCACTTTCCTATTTTAATTATCAATCAATCTGCCATTTCTTTTGATCTTTCAAATCATTATTTGGTCTATAAAATGATTGAAAAGAGTGGGATAACAACGCCTACAACAATTCGCCAAAGCCCAGGGTGGGCCGACAGTTCAAAGCCCAAAATATATACGGTTTACTATAATATTAAATGTCAAATACTCCGATTTTAGGAGCTGGGACCAGTAAACATTTGTCATTCATGATTAATAAATGACTTTGATGATAAATCTGTTGTTACTAATTCATTTTCTGTCAAACTATGTTCCCAAGAACACCAGATGATGCAATAACTGCTGTGTTTCCTCTCAAGTGTGCCCATAGACAACACTCTAGAGTCTATAGTCTAGACTCATACATACTGAACGTCAAGCAGCCATGTTTAATGTAATGCATAATGGCTTCAAAGTAAAGTTCGTCCATGACCGTTGCTTTGTAAATGAAGCATGATGGTGTACGCCCAGCACAATGGTCCCCGGAGTGCTCTCCGAGTCAAATCCTTGCAATCTGCATCTCGAGTGCTGCCTCGTGACCATGCATTCTATTGCCCGCTTCACATAAACGATCAATTCTTTGCAGAGGTACAGGCAGCCACAACGGGGATGACTGACTGCTGGGCTTACAGAGATGAGAGGTTACTTGAGACTTGTTTTCTCTAAGACGTGGAGACAGGCATTTTCCATCCAGGCTCTTTTGTAGACTGGTCTCGTTTGATTGAGAGGTCTCTCAGGTTGAGCTTTAAATGCACTTCAGAGTCTCTGGCTCATTCCTTCCCTGGATGTATTCACAGGGCCCTGAACTTTTCACAGAAGTGCTGATCGCAAGGGAAAAGTGAGTTTTGTAACAAACATTTCATTTCATTGAATTACTTTTAATAGGCTTACTGGGGAGATTTCTTTTCCTTGGATGCAGCTGCAGGTTTTTTTTGTAGATAATGAGCTTCAAAAGTGATCGCTGATTTCAAAGTGCTCAAATATGTGTCGTCAGCTTTTCCTAAAAAATAAATATATTCCAAGCGTGTTTTGAAAGGTACTATGCAAACACAGGATTATTCGAAATGAAGCAAAACACTGACGAGAGATCATAATGAAATGTAAGCCACTGGTAAACCCAGTGCAATATATCAGTGCTACAGTATGTATAGCCAAACCGTGTGCTACAAGAGATACAATAGTAACACTCACATGATTTGGTGTTTCATTTATTAGTCAATTTAATTGTTTAATTCATTTGTCAGCAAAAATGCCCAAAACTTGCTGGTTCCAGCTCGAACACCATAGTTTCTGTTTTCATCTTTATTCATTTAATATGGACTGTTGGTTGGGCTAAACAAGCAACGTGAAGATTAATTTATTGAGTCAACAGATGAATGGTTAATGAAAACCATTAGTTACAGGATAGCAAACACGCATCACATGCACACATAATTCAAATCTAAGCCGGCAGTGTAACTAATTGCAAAAATATGCAACAGGAACAAGTGACATGGTAAATACAGTCTCGTGCTTAATTATACCCACTGGAACGATGGAAGAATTTTCTGATGGCAAGAAAACCATTTTCTTATGAATGACTTTCTGAAACGGTGCCGTTTGAGAGGCTTATAGTTTAAGAAGTTATTTGACAGAAGAGGAGCCTTGGTTTTAAAAGACTGTCAGTTCAAGTCATGGAAAAAATATAAATATTATTGAAATACAAAACACTCAACAATAACGAATTGTGCATTGCTCTATCTACGTTGCTGTTATGGTCACAATAACCACCTCATCCTAAACATCTACTACCTCTGTATCATAAAGTGTGAATCATTTAAATGGTGTTCTTGTGAAACCTATAATGGACACATTTATTCAAACTCGTATACATTATTTGCTCTCCTGCTCAGATTTGAACCAGCTGCTGAATATTACAGATGCTCAAAAGAACTAATCCCGGTGTGACTTGCTGTCATTTTACCTCCCATGTCTCTTTTTTTCTTAATTACTGAGGGCAACAGGAAGCCGCACATCCAGTACAGATGTTGTTTGGAAAGCTACAAACAAGGTATGGTTGTTTGTACAACCGAGAAATTCTCTTTTTATGACACTTGACTTGGCAGCACCTTGAGAGCACCAACAACTGCCTCCATCACCGTCTACGGACTTCATCACAAGGGCACAGTAAAAGGGGTGATGGGTTAGGACCACGGGGGGGGGCGATCAATAGCGACATGGAAAACATCAATTCATTTCTGTCACAAAGATTAGTTATTCATCTCTGCCTTTTGGTGATTTTCCGCCAGCTGTGTTCTTTCTATTATTGATGAGTGTACAGTCGCAGCATTCAGATCAGGCTGACAGACGGGTCTGAGCGAACAGACCTTCAGGCACATACACCATGCACTCTCACTCTTTTTTTATATGCAGTAATGCATACCAGGGTTAAAGGAGCATTATTGTAGTTTTTGTACATTAACTACAAATTGCCTAAATGTAACAGCACCCACAAAGCCAACTGAAATGTGTCTGGGCGACTGTGGCTAAGTGGATAGCAGGGCTGTCCTTCAATCAGAGGGTCGGAGGTTCAATCCCCGGCTCCGGCTCTGCTAGTCGCATGTCGATGTGTCCTTGAGCAAGACACTTAACCCCAAAATTGCTCCCGTAGCTGTGCCTATGGTGTAGAAATGTGATAGACTCTGAATTGTAAGTCGCTTTGGATAAAAGCCTCTGCTTTTATCCAAATGTAATGTTGCACAGAGTATCGAGTGCTGCAAAATGGCATCAAATGTCTGGTCCCATTTGTACGATTAATTTACCTACTTATTTATTTATGTAGCCAAAGTTGTTGCACAGCTGCTCTTGATTTGACAACATGTAACATCTCAGAAGTTCGGGTTGTCCATTGTCGTGGAAGCAATATCTCAGGAACGCCTTGAGCAGATTTATTATGCCATTTGTTAAATAGAGAAGCAGGACCGAGTCTACAGAGCCATGGTAAAGCTCCGTTGGACTCTTCTTACAGTGGGCACAGTGCACTGAATTAAACGAGTAACTGCATTACTGTAAATATGAACTAACCTGTAAATACTGTAAGTATTTCCTCTAAATCAATGAACCGTGTAAATTGCTGTTTTACATCCGAGCTTAGATTTTTGCATGCTCATTAGTCAAATATTAATGAACTGCATTTAGGCTCCTACAGCGGTGCTTTGAGCTTAATGCTAATGTCGGCACGTTGACATCCTCATGCTAACATGTCCGATGCAGTCAAAACCATACAGTTCTGTTTTCATACCTTTTTTTTTTTTACTGTGTTTCATCTACCTTCAAAGTATGCATTCATCGTGTGCGTTCTACAGTGTGCATGTCCAGAAACTGCTGGGATAGGTAATGCACCACAGCTCATGTAATGCAATGCAGCGTAGAAGACTTGTCGAAGTACTGGACTCAGAGCTTCATTATTGAAGTCGGAACAATAACACAAGTGTGACAACAATTGCAGACATGATGGGCACTGTGAGGGAGCATTAACTTTTGGAACTGGTTACTTTATCATTAACCTCCCCCTCCTCGCTGCCTCCCATGTGCAGGCGTACTGGTGAAGCTGCCCGAAGCAGGAAAGAGCTGTGTTTTTTGGAGAACGGATCAGAGACAGGAGGAGAGAGAGAGGATCTGGCTGAACATCCCTCAGGATGAAGAAAAGCAGGAGTGCCCAGGGGGATGTACCAGGCGATGTAAGTACTGATTTTCCCAACCATTCTTTTTTTGCAACCATGAATCCCTCCATGCATTCATTACACAGCCACTTGTGATTTCTTTTTTATCTGAAATCCTGCTTCTCACCTCGAAAGTTTACAGCCTAATTCTGCAGTTTGCACAGTCGCTGTAAATTGTGTTTAAATGTTTGCCTTCCCTCTGTTTCTACCCGAACAAAGATACAGTGAGCTCTAGTGGGAATACACTCGGGCAGCAAGGTGCAGTATGTCGGTGACTCATAAACAGATGACTGTACTGTACACAACAGATCGCTATCCAGCAGGACACGCCGCAGAGAGCGAGATGTGTGTGTGTGTTTTATAACAGAGACGCGGGGTAGAGAGACAGTGTGTTGTGTGTGTCTGTGCATGAGAGAGAGAGAGATTTAAGAAGATCATAGAGACCGAGAGTTGAGGAGTGATGCAGAGTTTAGAAGGAGGCTGACCAGGGAGAGGAGGAACGGCGTTAGAGGACAGTTCACACCAGGAGATATTTAGGGCATGGACCGAGTCGAAACACGGATAAGAGGAGGCAGGACGGAGATCTGACGGAGAGGCCCATCTGTTTCTCCTCTACGCCACCGGTGTTTATGACCGGACCGACTGCCAGATCATTTACGTTGCTGTTGTCCAACAGGAGCTCAGAGGCCAAGCTGCACCCTGGAGGATGAAAGTTTTCCTGCTGTGACTGACCTCCGTCACCCTCCAACCCCCCTACAAATTCACGACTGGCTCGTTACTGAATATTTATGATAATGACAAAAATACAGTAAAACTCATATCATGGAGTTATTATTTTCCCCCCTTTTAATAAAGGAAATGCATAGTTTAATTCAGCATAATTGCCATTAACGTCATGAATGACTCATGCTGATTTTTTTCTTGCATACCAGTTGTGATTTCGGCAATGACACATTTTTCAAAAATGAAAAGCTTTAATTATAAGCACCTAAAATGCTTCTTACAATCTACTGGCAGGAATGATTGTGCAGGCTTTTTTAATGTTTAAAACGTTCCGCTATTTCAGTCTACTTAAATAGATAGTCATTCTATTTTCAGCAGCTTACATGCTGCTCAAACGTTCCTGTAGTACATCCCAAACCTAAAGATATATGCGAGTTAAAATACGAGTTTAAAAAAGTAACAAAGACACAGGAAAAATAAATCCTAGAAAAGGACAATGCTTGTAAATATCAATGAATTAGTAGTTGAATTATTATATTTTATCATGGTTTTTAGAAGCTCATTTTAAAGCCAAAGTCACTTTTCTCTATTTCACAGAAAAGTGAAATATGATTCTGTAAAGACGTCTGCTGTTCTTCACCTCAACATCTTTGAGTGTCCGTCTCCCACCGTTTCGTTCCCGTTTCCTTGGCTCCTCGAGTCAATAATTCAGGCACCACATCAAGCCGTGCTGTTAGAGCGTCACTGCTAGCGCTGTCTCATTTATACCACCTTCTTCAAAAAGGCTTTTTGGAAGTATCCCAGAGAACACTGGAGTTGTTTAGACACAGCGGCCAAGAGAGGCCTTTCATCTTCAGCGAAAAAAACACACCCACTCTGCCTCTGTTTGACACGGGAGCCGCACTACCTCCATTTCGGACTCATTGTTTTACCTTTCATGGCGATTCCTGTCCTTTTATAACCATGTTCCGTGTACATCTGATAAATTCAGGTTTCTAAATTTACCGTTGTTTTGAATTCTAATATTATCAACACCCTTATCCTCCTCCTGACTTATACACACTCACTCAACGTGAATCAGCAGTATTTCCTCTTCCAAGTGCTATTTGGTCCACAGGCGAGGGATCAATGAGGAACTGGAATTACATGTCCAGAAGTCAAAGGTGCAATCGATATGCAATTGATAGATAGTTTGATAGTGGAATTTACAGCAATGTCACTGTGACATATTGACAAGAGACTATTTAGGTCTCTGATTATAAAAGTTTGTTTGACGAGAGTGATTGTGTGAGAGGAAGCGCTCCCAGAACAGTCGTTGGAGTCGTGTTTTGCCAGATTTAATTATCACTCTTTTTCCCTGGACAGGAAGAATCTGTCCTAAACAGACAGCAACAATGAATCAGACAAATTGCATTTCCTGGAATGGGCGGAGGAGTCAGCAGAGCTGTGTTTATGGACAATCGGAAATCAGGAAGGCAGACTCCTCCCTCTTTTTGTGTTTTCGCTACTGTTGACTCTGTCTTCCCCTCTCTCATTCACAATCTCTCTGTCCCTGCTCCACGTCAGTCACTTTACTGTCATTCATGTTGCTTCTTTGCTAGCGTGTCACAGTGGACACTGTTTGTCACTTCCACTGGAAAGAGGAGGTGGGACGTCTTCCTCTTTCTTTCTGTTGTCTTCTCTCCCTTTAATTCTTAGATCACTGCTAGCTCTCATGTAGCATCACTCTGACTCACTTCATTCACTCACTCAATGATTTTAATTTTAGCTTTTTTTTTCCTTCTGACGTTTCCATTCGTCATGTCATTTTCAATTCTCAGAGAGGTTCTCTCTGTCCTCACCGAAGAGCCAATTTAGACATGAAGGGTGTACTTTCAAAGATAAAGAGGACATTTTAATGGGAGCAGATGACGCTACTTGCAGCCCCTTGAAGAGATGTAACTTAGTTACAGTTTTTTGGATGCATCAACTCAAAAAGACAGATGTGAAAGGGCTTTCACAGAGGACCTTTTTGACTTTTTACCAAGCTTAGTTAGGCGCTGCTTGTCCTGCTGTTTGATTAGTACAAGTGTTAGTAGCTGAAACCATTATTTACTTGATAGACCTGTAATCAATTCACTAGTTCAGCCTCTCAAATGTTAGGATTTCTATGATAGAAAGTTGAATACCTTTTGGGTTTTGGGTTGTTGGAAGAACATGCCATTTGAAGACATTTCCTCGGGCTGCGGGAAATAGTTTGTAATTTGAGAAACTGATAAATAGATTAATTTGTGAGAATAATCTATAACCTTGGTACCTACTAAAGCTAATAGATATGCCAGGACCCATTTATCGGCCAATATAAGCTCATTAGAGATGTATCATTACTGGTGTATATGTTGGCCTGTAATTAATAAGAAAATGCAGTACAGAAATGCATCATCATAACATAGTGTTTCCACTGTATAGAGCACTGATTTTTCAAATGTATAATGTCCTGCATTGAAATCTGAGTCAAGATAGTTTTTTTTTTTTTTTTTTGTTATTATTAACGACAATCTGCCAATATTTTTCCATATTAGTAGTTTGAATGTGTGCGGGCTCATCAAGTTACGATTAGCTGTCAGTTGTGGCGTCCCTCTTTCTCCAGTCAACCTCTTTCTCTCACACTCCACTTCTTTGTCTAGTCTACTTCGCCCGGTACACAAAATAGACGACAAAATGTTTTCTTGTTAACCGAAGCCGTGTTCTAGGAATTCCTGGATCCTCCATTTGTCCCTCGGCATTGTTGTGCCTCCCCATCTCCCTTCTTCATTTGAAGCCTGTCGGTGGGTTTCATTTACACTCGCCCGCGCGGTGAACATAAAGTGGCGAGTGATGTATGCAGAATGAGCTCTGGCACACCGCCTCTGTTTCCCCAGTGCCCCGGTTTGTTTACGACCCGTCATTACAGTGAAGCACCCAGGGCTCCTTACCGAAACCGTCACACTCGACCAGACACATTAAGCACGTAATTTATATTCAGTGCTGCTTCATAAATATGTCAATTGGCCTGAAATAAGCTTTGATCAAGCGGTTGTTTTTCTTCTCTTTGTAGTGAAGAGCATAAAAACATAACTGGAGGCAACATACGGTACGGTACTCTGTTAAATCAGCAACACTAGTACAATGCCATTCAAAACATGCCTGTAGTGTTGCTGCTTTCTCGAGATCCGCTCATACAAACAGCACTTAAAAAAATATGCAACTCAGCGGTATAGTTCTTACTGTGTAAGAAAGCATTGCACTACTACATTTACCTGACAGTGAAATGTTACCGTTACTGTTAAATATGATGAACCAATTTCATTGACATCTTACTCGTGCAATTGACGTTTTTTTGTCTTGTTTTCGATAAGGAGCCGTCTGTGGGACAATTTGCCAGCGGCAGCACACTCGGGGTGGAATCGTGCAAAGTCCACAGGCGGTTTTCTGGCAACCTGCAGCTGCCTCCTTTGTCATGGCGACAGGTGGAAACGGAGAGGGACCGGGTCAGGTCGCTCACACCTGAAGAAGATCCGGTGACCCGGACCAGACCCACGAGTCTGCCCATCTCCTCTCTGCCGCGCATCGACATCACACAGGCGGACCCTGACAGGTACGGCTCAACAAGACAAACCAAAGACGATCATCACACAGATACAATGTTTATGATCCAGTTTGCATATAGAAGTAATGCCACAATGTGTATAATGCATATTATATATTCATTTGTTGTCTGATGAATTTAATAACATTTCATGTCATTTGCTATTTTCCTGCAGTTCTCAGCTTTTATGTTATCTTTTTGAGAAGTGTTTATTTTTGTAGGAGCAGAATATTCAAGTTGTTTGTTTGGTAACAGTGGGAGGCTGGTCTACCTCCAACATTGGATTTGCAAATGAGCAGCAAAGTTGGCATTTCAATTCTTGATTTTGGTTCCTCTCTGTGTTTTTAACACCTTATTTTCTTACTTTAAGTTTTTTCTTGCAGTCATAACTGTAACGCTGTGACCCAGAGAAGAACACAAATGTTGCTCATTTCTAAGACATCAGATGGTACAACATAATTTGGCAGTCATTAAACTGAATACGTTGTTGTTGTTGTTGTTGTTGCGTCTACCTCTGAGGCAGGATACACTGGGCTGCTGTTCCTTGGCAGAATGTTCTTTATGATGGCTACTACTTCACTTTATTGAATGGCAATTTGCTACATCCCCCCTTTTTTCTTTGAACCTCTATGCCTCACCCCACTAAACCACAGATTATTATGGGCTCCCTTCAGAGATGTATTGTCAGCTGCTTTCATCTCTATAACTCTCACACTCTGCTCTACTGCCCTTTTAGAAGCATGGGTTGCATTTATCTGGATTAAAGGTCAGGAGCTGGAAAACTTTTGCTCTGTTTATTGCACGTCAGCTGTTATTGATCAGCCAATAAGCTGGTTGATGATGTTGTTTTGGATTTTGATTTGCATTATTAATATTGCAGGGGAGGAGGCATCCATGAGATTTCTACCAATCGAGTTAATCATAAACACAGAGTCATATTCTTCTGAGTATTTGAGGGAATATTTATAAGCACAGTATCGTGAATTTGATATCCGGGAAGGAGAAGTCTTTTCTTCTATATGTCTTTTTGGCATCTGATTACAACACAATAACTCCTTATTCTTTAACACAAAACCAGTGAGGCTCTTGATAGTTTTAACGGTGTTATTTCAACTGTTCCTTCTGAAGGCCGTAGCTTTTAAACGGAAGGAAACCCCTTGCATCAGACTCTGTTGTAACACAGCTGCAGTAATGGAAGTCAGTGGAGAGAACGGGGAGCTCGGGTCGGACCAGGCTGACTCGTGCAGTGCTCGCGCTGTTAATTCTGGCCAGAAACTGTCACCTCACAGTTCACCGAGATGCTTTCGCAAGCAGGTGGTGAACAAGCGTCTCCGTCGATACAGGCGCTTCACCGTGGCGAATACCTGGTAAGAATTCGGTCGGTGTGATTGTGTGAGAGGACGAGAAAGAGAGCTGTTGTTTCACTCCATTTGTCTCTCTTTGTCAATTATTTTTATTTGTTGTGTTTTGGTGCATTTGGTTATTGAGATGTATTTTACTCACACAGAGCCTTATTTAGCAGTAGTTTGTTTCAAGTAGCCAACAATGTCCCTGCTCCAGGGTGAGTTAGAGTTCAGGAGAGTCATTGATCAAAGAGATTAAGTGTAAAACACTGGAAAGAGATGTTGCCAATAACATACCAAGTGTTTGATGATAATTCTCTGCAGTTTCCCGCATATCTTAAGTCAGTCCAGTGTAGTGTATTTATAGAGCCAGAAATCATGTTTATCTCAGAGGAATTCACAATATATACAACATGCTCCATCTTTAAAACCATCAGATAATGAACTCTAAAGACAAAGAAACGGAAAGATGAAATCTTTGAAGAACCTCAGGAAAAGCAACGGATGATGAACAGATATACACTAGATGATGTACAGTTCACACAGGAGCAGCAGTAGTAGATTTAAAATAGGTTGGATCATCCAGCATCTTTGTGCTGCTCTCTGGGCACACGCCGTTACAGTTCTACTCTTCTTCATGCGTTGAAACGTGTGAAAGATGATGACGTTATTTCATCATAAAATGTCTTTATCGTTGAAATAATGAAAAGTAGAAGCTGATCAGAGCAGAGTGCCGAGGGTTTTCCTCTGGGATGAGCTTTACTCAACATCGAGATGAAATGAAAAAAGCCCCTTTAACCCTTCGTGCACCCGTTTAACAATATATACCCAAAAAACAAATCTATTTTTTCGTAGTTTTATATCAAAATCCAATCACCCTTTTTTCCTTTTAAACAAAATATGAAGTGTGCTTACATGAGTTGGTTTCAACCAGTAATATTATGACAATCAATCCACCGGCAGCCTAAAGAGACACAGGAGGTATGTGTGTGTGTGTGTGGAGCAACTGTCCTCTGTCGCTTTCTATCACGCTACATTCAAAAAATGATTTATTTACAGGATCTGGTGTGTGCACTCTGGAGCTTTTCAAACATTTACAGTAGAGCAGTGGTCTTGGTTCAGAAAGCCTGTTTCTTCTGTCTGCACTCGGACGATAAAGGGAGGCTCTGGTTCTTCTCTTCCAAATGTCACCGTGTCAGTCACACTATCGGGCAGGTTTGCTTTCTGCCTCTAGAGATGAGTGAACTCAACTGATGTGGACATGCAATATATAAACTCTGACATGGTGTTAAATTAACACTGAATTAATTATACACTGTCTTCTGCCAGAACTGCAACATTCTGTTATTTAGGTCATTTTTACAAGGATGGCAGTCTGACAAAGAAGTGAAGTCCTGTCCGTTAATTAAGACGTTCATCGCTGAAATCTCAGACGCTCACAGCCAGGCTTTTCTACCCTTATAGGTAAATACGATTCTTGCATCTCTTCGCATGGTGTTGGACTGTTTTATCTCTCAACAACATCTTGGAAACCTTGTCCCACACACCTCTACCCTACTAACAGTCGTCTCGCAGTGTTCTCTTGTGAGATTCTGATCATGCTGTTTTCATTCTTAATGGAAGAAAAATCAACCTTTGTGATTCGGCTCGATCATTTTCAAAATACTTAAAGAGACTTGCAAAGGTAAAAAAAAATGGGATTTGTGATGATTGTGAGTTTAAGTAGATGTGACCTGAAAGCCACAGGTTATGCAAACAGCTGATTTTATTCCAATTGTCAATATTACTTCAAATCTGGATTTTCCTTTTCATACCTCCCTTTTCACTGTAAACGTAAGTGCATATGCTTTCATAGGACACCACAGGTAGCCAATCGAGGGGCGATTTGGATGATGAACGCACTGACTAATCTGCTGTGGCTTAATATAGAGGGGGAAAGGGACAGGCGGTCAGATAAACAGCAACTGTGAGCGTTCCAGCCCAGATCTGCCTGTTGGTGTCTGCCAAGCCTACGTTATTCCAGCACGTGGCCTGTTGCTGCACAGAAACGGGGTCTGTCAGTGTGGTGTGTGTGTGTGTGTGTGTGTGTGTGTATGAGCGAGCAGCCACAGTAGCGGTACATTTTGTTGCCTGATGAGACCGGAGGAGGTGAAAGAGAGATAAGAATGCCGCGGAGGTCCCCTAGGTGCAGGGTTGGGCACTTTGACTTCAGCGAGGAAGTGGTCAGTGGAGCACACCTCTCGGCTCCCAGGTGACTTTTTTCATTTTTTATTTCTTCTTTCTTGAAAATATTTTACTGAGCTAAACTCTTCATCTAGACCGTCTCTTTGAGTGTTTTGAGCCTCTCTGTCTTTCTTTCCTCTCCAATTGTGTCTAGATGTTTGAGAGTGATTGATGATCAGCGTTGGTAGAATTTGAGTGAGTTTTGGTACAATGTATTGTAGCAGATCATTGCTGTGAGTGTACAGTATCTAGGATCAGAGTCTGCAGAAACGATGCGTCGCTGTGACATACTGTGGTCTCCTGCTTGGGTCAGAAGAGACTTTAATCGCTGTAGGTGAAGCATGTTAACGCTGTGTGAAGTTTGGGATTTGGATGACGCAAAGGGCAACACGAATGATGTTTATCGCTCTGCCTGTGCGTAATCAGTGTTTGCACATTTCACATTAATCTGAGCTTTGCTGGCAGAGGTGTGGGACTGAGAGCGTCTCCGTGGGATGGATATGTGCCCGTTTAATCCCACATGTCGAAATGTGGGGCAAATGGCTGAGTGATCTTTGGGACAGTTGGTCCGTTCCGAAATAGATTTTGGAGAAGTTGACGGAGCACTGAGTGTGTTTATGAAAGCATGCGGACACTTTTCTACTGCAACTGAAATAAAGACTGAAATGTTAATGTCTTATATTATCCAAGCTAAACTCCGGACTTAGCGAGGGTGATTCATGATTTGTGGCATCCGTTATTCCCGCGGGGCATTGATACTTTGACCTTTCACTCTAAACTCCATCTGACCTGATCATCTGGTTGCACAATAGCTTGTCCTCTCCTGCACCCACACCATGAGGACAAACAGATTACATCCCCTCTGCATCTGCGGTGGTTTCTCTGTGGCATCAGCGAGCATGCTGGGTAGATTGGCCTGTAGATGTTGGCATTAAGTTTACACTTTGTATTAAACCGACTGCTTGCTGCTTTGCTCGTGCTCTGAGGATTTTGTCATGTCTTGATAAGTTCTCTGATAGGACTTCTATCCATCTATCTGCTCCGTCTGTCTTCTATAATTGCATATTTTTCAATTCAACTGTGTATGTTTTGCTTTTTTTCAAGGCCAGGAACAAGCATTGGAAATTAGCTTAGGTTTTAAAACTATTTGATTAAATGTTGCATCAGACATCTCATGTTTTCATTTATTTTATTCTGATTTGATTTATTTGTCAAGGACCATGTAGGAAAGCATTAATCTCAAGCACTGAGAGGAGATGCTTGTTCCAGATTCAACGACTGTACTTACTTACCATCTGCACTCCCCGAGCAGGTAGATACAAGCACTACTGCATCCAGAAGATCCATTGGATCTGGATAAGTGTGTCTGTCACTGTAAAAAATACACAAGGCTGAATAAAAACCACAGCTCTTTACTTACTTGTTGCTCCTGAGTGGAGCTGTCATGGACGGACGGTATTCCAGTGAGACGCAGAGCAGCAGTTCCTCTCACTGACCAGCAAAGCATACTTATTTAATGAGCACACTAGTTTGGTTTTTAGGCCGTGGATGGATGGATGGGTGAGTAATCATTGTGGGGTTTATGCAACCTCCTCTTTCCTGGATGGGATTTGTGAACATGTTGCGCAAGCCAGTACTTAGTGGCAGCTTATTGAAAGTACTTAGTACATAATGATGATGATGATTTGATAGGCACTGATTGATTATTAGATTGATGATGGAGTTGTAGCTACTCTCTTTTCTAACTGATTGCTGTTGTTAATCTCTGTCTTCTCTTAGCTTTGAAGGGGAAAATGGTCCCTCGTTGTGCTGCAGTCCCTCAGACCTGCAGGCCTCCCCGGTTTCAGGTCTGGCGCTGCATCCCAACGTGGCGGGCCACGGTCAGCGCCGGGAGTCCTTCCTGTACCGGTCCGACAGCGACTACGAACTGTCGCCGAAGTCCTTGTCTCGGAACTCTTCCATTTTTGGAGACCTGTGAGTTGGTAAAGGGCTGGGCAATGTGGTCTAACGTCATCTCAATAACCAGATACACCACGATATAGCATGTTTTCTGGTAGTTTAATAAATAGTCTACACGAAAAGCCTATTTTTGTACGAACCTGTGTCAATTACTTCCTTGACAAATGAAAAGTATTGAGTGTTTTCTAATTTAATTCAGAACTGTAGTATGAACATAACGGTTCAAGTGATATTATAGAGAGAACATGAATAACACAGTTTGGCCGCTGTTTTTCTGACATCGCGTTAGAAACTATATAGCAATAATAGACCTTTTAATATAATTTTGACAACATATAGCGTCTTTAATAGTTTTCACATCCCATTTCAGGCATGGAGAGGACATGATTGTGACTCCATTTGCTCAGGTAAGAGCTGATGATGATTAATTATGTTTTACTAGGGAGCATTTTTTTGGGAAAGTAATTTGTCCCCAAAGGCTTTTAAGACGTGAAGCACCTCATGAACCCTGAAACACTTCGGTGTGATTAACCGCTTATTGTTTCCCACCTTGTTATAACATATTTAAGAGAAGATCCAGGTTTATGAACATGCTGACTTTAACCTGTTGCACGTCAGTAATGCCTAAAGGTTAAGAATTGATTTGGATGGATTAGCAGCATTCAGCATTGAGAGATGGCTGCAAAGACTGCACAACAGTCACCGCTAACCAACGCTTTAAATTACTCAGATAAAACAATAAGCAGCTGCATTTCTATGCAAAATAAAAAATAAAAAAGTGTTTTTGGAGTAGCCATCACATTATCACAGTCCTCCAGCCTCCTGTGAGTGTCAAATTGTAACCTGTAATATTTCTATATACCTTTTCATGCTGATATTTCAACTACTTCCACCCAGCCTTTCCCACTTGTGGGCTTCTTCTTCTCATTCCTTTTTTTACATTGATTTTTTCTTTTTTAGGTTCTGGCAAGCCTTCGGACTGTCAGGAACAATTTCACCACCTTAACAAATGTCCAGTGTGCATCCAATAAGTAAGTCCTACCCTAATGTTATTCTAGTGTCTGCTTGTGTTTGGGAGAGTGACTACATGCTGCAGAATGTCTTCAAGTATGCAATGAAGGTTTTTGTACTGGGGGCTTTTTGTAATTTGCGAGCTGATAGAAATGATTCTTCATGCCGATTTTTAGCTTTCACAAATATGTTTAGACGTTATAATTCAAAATACCAACATGCCTCACTTGGGGGCGCCAATGCATCAAAAACATTTGTATTTGCTATTGTCTCATGGAGGAAGCACTCAAGTTAAACAGAGTGTAGATTCACACATACAGAGAGATTTGTGCTTATGGTGCAAGAGCTGGTTTGCAGCAGCATTGAGTGACATTTTATTAAATTTTTTTGCTGGAAGAAGGGTTTACTTCACCTCGTATGTGCATGAATGCTCCCTCTGATCACTGAACCAGGTCAGTGGCTGCAGTTGCATCAGGTTTGCCAGAGGTCCATGTAACCTCAGAGAGAGGTCACAATGAGCCGAAACTGCAATTAGACACAACGATGTCGCGTGGAAGAAAACCTGACCTACGTCCAGTTCAGAGAACTGGACGTAGCATCTGTTTTGTGTTTGTGCTGTGGCAACAATGACTGCTGCTTTCACTAAATCACACTGTAAAAAAAATAAATAATGCAGCCCCTTGTTAAACACCAGGGCAGCTGATTTTAACAGTTTCTGGCCTGTTTCTCTCTGGTTGTAGGAGGTCTCCTGCTGCGAATCAGCCTTCTCTCACCAAAGTCTGTCTGTCAGGTGAGTCCTATCACAAGCCTTCCAGAAGCAATGCATTGCATTGCTTTTACTGTGGTAGTTGTATACATTTTAAGAAATCAAAAGTCAAGTTTGGCTGTTGGAATATTTGAAAGATACAATAGAATAAAAGACATGTGACTCCTCATACGTGCAGTTTTATGCATTAAAGCCACAGATAGAAATGCACAGTTGACAACATTTCCAATTTTAATAAAAGCTTAAAAATCAATGAATCTCAGTAGCATAAAGCAAATTACTACAGTTCAAATAGATTGCGATAGACTGTGCTTTTGCAAATGCAGCACACATTCACACTTCATATTCAGTCCTCTGTAAATGCTTGATTTGTGGAGATTCATTTGGGGAGAGCCGTCATTGCTTATGTCGACAGTAATAGACGTTTACACCTCCAGCACCAATTGTGTCACCTTTGAGCGCTTTCACACATGCAAATAGAAACTGCGATCTCTTGAGTTATTGATTAAGGAAACCGTGACATGACAAAAAATTCCCATGCACTGAAGGAAAGACAGGGTGAGAACCATGGAAGGAGATTTAATGCTTGTGATTCAGACGAGGTGGATGTGAAGGAGAGAAAGAAAAAGAGTGAGGTGGGGATATTGGTTCCTGCTGCACTGGTTCTTCAAGCATGATTGACGTCAGAGCGGCCTGCTTCCTATCAGCACAGATGGGCTGATGGGAGTGTCCCGCAGCAGGAAAAAATACAACACAACTGCGAGTCTTATTGTCCTTCCTCCTCCTCCACACTTCTCACAAACCTTGACCTTTGCAGAGTAATCTCTGACGTGCGGAACCATCTTGTTATTGGCATGGCCAAGATGAAATGAGAAAAACAAGTAGGATTAACCCAACTTTTTAGATTGCTTTGAAACCTCTTACACACAGTACACTGGTGTTTCTAAAGTAGCATCCTACTCTAGTTTCACCATAGAATATCACCGGCGTCATCTTTTCCTGAGCATACAAACAGTCAGTACACTTGCCACTACAGTAAATAATAGTAATTGTTCAGGAGGAGGCTACAACAATTAACAATATCACAAGGAAAGATGCCCTCATATCCTCCCTTGGAGGCTGCTTTCTGTCTCAGGAGAACATATTCTTCCTGTTTTGCGTCTGTGTTTAGTGAGGCAATATCCCCAGTTGTGGAAAACGTATAGTACCTGCGTCTTTCTGGGCATGAGCTCAGTGTAAATGGCTGATTAAAGGCTCTATGATTACATTGATTATCTCCTATAAAAAGTAAGAGAGTGTTGTGTGCCATCCTGCAGGAAGATGGTGAGGTAAGACACAGATGTCGCTCTAGGGAGAGTAAGAGATATGCCAGATTGTTGCAAGGGAGTGAGATGCGAAAGAAAGAAAACACAGCAAAGGTCAGAGAGAGACTTCACAGTTTCGAAACCTTTTAATCAGATGCGTTATTACTGAAGCAGAAAAAAAAAAGGTCGGATTGGATGAAATAAACAAAAAGAGCCGGAATGTGACCACAGCCACTGAGTGAAAGTGCACAAGAAGCTGAAGTGTGTGTGTGTGTGTGTGCGTCACTGCAGGCTGTTTACACTGTTAACCATTTTACTCCAGTAATGTGATGGGATTGTAGTTCTCATCATGTGAGTTTGCCGTTTACGCTTCACATGCAGTCCAGTGAGCCCCGCTGACTGCACAGGGAAGGGCTCCCTCTTCCCTGTCTGACTCAGAGTATAGGCTCCGCTCTGTATTACGCCTGATAAATAGTAGTTTTGATCATGACATCTTTCTCCGTCAAGGACCGGTGATTAATCTGTAACGGGTATCATCACGAGCGTTAGATGGGACTCCAGGGTCCATGGTTATTCATAGACCAAGACGGGGATGTGAAATCTCATCATGTTGTTGGGGGGGGGGGGGATGTTCCCTCTGAATGGCATTCAGAAATGAATGTTAACACAATGCCTTCAGAAATGAATGTTTCAGGCAGTGCTGCTTAAAGTGGGGCCTGTTGGCCCAAGTAGGCCGCTGTAGATCGACCCACTAAATGAAAAAAAACAGGAAGTAATGTGGTTTTGTGTAAACTGTAAATATGTCACACAATTTGACCAGAGACGGTTAACATTTTTCAAATACCTCTTGAATGGAAAAAATAATTATTTAAAGGAATAGTTCAACATTTGAGGAAATTAACTCTTTGTTTTCTTCCCAGGATTTGAATGGAAAGTCAATACCAGGTTTGTTTTAATCAATGAAAACACAATCTTTTTTTTTTCCTAATCATTTGAATCGTGTGCCTTTTTATGAAAAAACACTATAAATTACTTTAACAAAGTAAAAGGATAACATTTAGAGTTTTTGATGGTTTGCACTGACTTCAGAGTGGTTGAAACGATGTTTGTGACGGTGGCCAAAAAGGCTGGAGCCATGTAGACCAGCTGTATAATCAAACAACAAAGGGATCTGTATCTGCCAATACGGATCATCAATGATCTGTAATTGGTATTAGCGGCAAAAAAACCAAGATCAGGGATCTCTAACAGTTATGTTTGCTCCTTTTTTCTTTTGTGCTGATCCGATTTTTGATCCGATCTGTGACTCTTATCAGTGATACGATCCACATCCTTTGGTGAATTATGTTTTATTTAGTAACCCTACAGAGTTGAGTTGTTTTCAATCCTATTGAATGAATTAAGGTCGCTGGGACACATCATTTTGCATCTTATTACAGTATCCTTCAGTATAATAATGTGTTTCCAGCACTCGATTGGTCTGGAGAAACAGCTGAGCATAGCGTTATTTATTAACTTATATTAACGTCGCGATTCATTATTCATCTGGAAAGTAAACAGCTGTTTTTGAGGTACACAATTCAAATGTTCATTGATTAAAACATGTTCTTAAAAAAAGCATTTAAATAGAGCTTGTTCATCAAAGCATTTGGATGATCCTCCTATAGAGGTCCAGGTAAGCGCTAATGCTTGCGTCATGCTTGCGTCATGCTTGCGTCATGCTTGCTTGTATCACTCTGCTGGTCAGAAACCGTGTCCACATCTGGGCAGCGGGGCCCAGGAAGATTTTGTCACCCTTGTTGATGTCTTGTCACATGTCTTTGTGGGATGTATGCCAGCTGTTCAGAAAGAAAGACAGTTACTGCAGTTTAACCTGTGCAAAAATAATTCAGTATTCAACTGTATTCCAACATGAAAATTCTCTGCCTTCAAACTAAACACCTGACGTTGTGCGTACACTGCCGAGGGCGTGAGGCAGTCAACACGCATTGCTCATCCATCTTTTGTCTCTTAGTGTAAACATGTCCTGAAGTTATTAAGACTGATCTGAAACAGGTTATTTTGACAGAATATAGAGGAAGTGTTAGTCATCTGTAATTTGCGCTTTGATTCCAAATAACAAGGAGTCACTTTTATATCCGGGCAGGAGATTTTGTGTGTAGTTGTGTGGACGGAAGTCTGTGTGATCATGTTTAGAATTACAGATTTTAGTATCTTCTATTTGGTAGCGTCGTTGTTGTTTGGTTCTGATGAAAGTGGTTAAACCTCATAGTGTTTTGGATGATTTCTTGTGGAGGCCCATATTGTTTGTGACGTGTTTTAAATAGCATTACTGATGATGAAATGCACTCCTAAACAAACAGTTGACCACCAACTGACAGCCAGAACAAATTCGACCTGTCATTTTTTTCCGTCCGGGCAGTCCGCTCCACTACCCAGAAGTTACTCTGCTCCGCAGCTGGGATCCGTGTTGGGTTTTCCAGGCTCGCAGTGAGAGGAGAGGATCGGGAAGGCTGGAAGCGTGCAGCCTGGTTAAGTATTTGAATTATGTCATTGACGTCATAAAACCTTGCTGCGGCCCATCCCTCAAGCCGGCCCGTGCCAACGCGGCTCTATGGTGCATTGTGAAGGAGCTGTCAAACAGGCCCTGATGAGCGGTGTGTCTGTTGGTTTAGCTGTTGAAGCCTTTTGTTTTGACAGGTGAGGAGATTATGCCCCAGTTGTAAACTATGAGGAGACATAATCAGGAGAGATGGTTGAGATTGTTTGTGAGAGAAGACGACGTGTGATGGTGTGGTTTCGGGTCACGCCACAGGTTCCTTAAACATCACGCTAATAATAATAATAATTATTATTATTATTTTTAATAATAATTAATTATTATCAAATGTCTCACACAGTAGTCACTTATATTCTCTAAACAACACACCTTGCATACATTTTGTTTATTGTTCTAAATTATACATAACACTATGTGGGGAAGCATGTTTGAATAAGGAAGCTTTAATTCTGTGATTATTTTTTTTAATACACGATGCAAATTACATGACTCGAGAGCAAAGCTTGTTTTATTCAAGTAGGAAAGTCACGGATCAAATTCAAGTATTTTTCCACCAGGTACGTAGTTGACTGTTCACCTGTATACGTTACACAACTCCTTTGTGTCGCTATCTGAATAGACAAATATTTAACATAATTGAGGTGCTTTTCTCTCTCTTTCTCTTTCTCTGCTTGTTAAAGTCTTTTTTTTCTTTCTCTCAACTTCTGAGTAAACTGACGTACATCGGGGATGATACAAAGGTGATTCACCTCTCTGTCTCCGCTTCATGCGAGGTGTGAAGTCAAACACAAACTGCACTGAGTCTGTTTCAAAGTGTTTTTTTTTCTTTCACGATGTGGTGCCGTCAAGATGAGGAATGTGTGTTTGTGTACATGCAGATGGCTCGAAGCGGTTTACAGTTTAACTGGGACGACTCGAGTCTTTTTCATTGACCCTCTGCTGTCACTAGCCTCATTATTTCCCAGCATGTCAAATATGGAAGAATAAACAAGACTGAAGCCATATTAGTCACGGTGTTAAAGTCCCCATGAAAACACAAATACTACGTGAGCAATCTCAACTTTACGTCACACCTGTAATGCTGCTGACACACAAATGCTTGATGTTGCAAGTACATACTTGCGAACAGTTTTGAAGTCCTTGGGTGTTCAACTTTTTGTTTCTACTTCATTTCAGAGGGAAAAATAATGTTGTTACGTGTATTTGACAGTTACTAGTTACTTTGCAGATTAAGATTTACATATGAAACATGAAACAATATACACTGCTATAATAGTATTATGGATTGAACTACCAACAGCATATTCAAGCTACAACATTATAATGTCCCTTGCATATTCGTGCATCAATACAAATAATACTGATTAAAGAAAGCTAATGATCTAACACCTTTCTGCACAGTTCGTGCATTTCATTTTGATACTTCTACTTCAATGTTTGAATGCAGGACTTTTAATTGTAATAAATTACTTTTTCGTTTAGTTATCACTAGTTTTTCTTCAGTAAAGGATCTATAGCTTATCGTTCGTTGGTGTAATAGATGAGGCCGTTCAGCTCTGCACACCCCATTTCAGCCAGACAGCAAAGGAAGCAGGTTTTTTTTTTGGGGGGGGGGTTAGGTTGAGAGCACAGAGAGGGGCAGTGTGAGGTGGAAGCGAGCGGAAGGTGTTTCAGGCGGGAATGGAGGTGGGGGGGTGTTGAGCGCAGCCCTGCTCGTTGGTGCAGTTGATGGCTCTCACAGAGGCCGGTTTGTGGCCCTTTTAGGGGAGAGAGTTGGAGGGAAAAGGGGGAGAGAGGGGAGACGGACGGGGTCTGTCTGCACACTGAGGTCTGTTGTCCTCTCGGCAGCCTCCAGCATATGGCCGAAGCATTAGGACTCATCGAAGAAGAAAAAAATAGACTTCCACTGAAAAAACAGACTGGAAAAGTACCGCGCACTCTGTCTGGAAGCAGGTTTTTCAGACTGAAAGTGCGTCACGCCACCTTTGACTGGTGACATTGTGAAACTTCTGTCAGCACATTTAGCACTGTATTCATCATCAACCAGAGGCAATGATAGAATCAGCAGTCCCATCTACTCCTCCTGCGTGCGTGCGTGTGTGCGCATAGCTTTGTTTTCAAGCATCCAGCTGTTGTCGTTTTTAGGAAAACGCAACAGTTGAACATGTGAAGTTCTGCTTCAGTGTTTTTGCTGTGGGCGAGTGGCATGAAGCCAGACAGCAAAAGCAGTAAATCTTTCTTCTTCAGTCTACATCTGAATTTTTATTTTTTACTGCCATCAGATTCTGGAGTTTATGTGTGAATCAGCCGCCAGCTTCAAAATGACCTGAGTCCCGTTCATACATGCGGCGTGGACGAGCCAAGCCTTTGATGATTGACGGCTTCCTTGTTAAGATCTCTAATGTCTATATGCTCTCTTTGGAGGAAACGGGGGCAGGATGTGGTCGCACCTTCTTGGCAACATCTCCTGCCCCTATGGCTCAAGACGGCCGCACGTTGGTGTATACCCCATTTCAACAGCTCACCACCTTGTGCATGAGCTGCTTTGACGCTGTGCTTTCTGCTCCGTGTCACTGACTTTTACGCGGCTTGGATGCCAGTGGTTCCTGTGAATAGTTTGAACCGCGAAGCTTGGCGTCCAGCGGTATATTATAGCCCGGGGTTCTTTGATTTCTCCGACCTGGAGCTCAAGTAAAGGAAAATTGGTCTGACCCGAGGAATGAGGCTCGTGCTAGCAGTCGTGCTCCTGTAATCCGAGGAACCGGTGGCATGATTTCTAATAGCCGCAGTTGAGTTTAAACGGTTGAAACTCAACTCCCCTTTGACTTTCAGAAGAGTCGCTGTCATCATGTTGATGACGTTCTATCGTGGGAGGTTTCCTCAACTGCACATATTGTGTCTGAGAGTTCATTGACTTTCTTTGTGAAACACCACCGGTGCCGAGTCTGTACGCCATCACTGTGCTTTGAAGTGCTTTGATCCACTATATTGACGTAAATTGGGGAGCAGCACGCTGGCTGTCCTGTTGTGCTAAGCATATGGGGGAAATTTCTTCCATGTGTGAAGTCCTATGAAGTAGAGATCAGTCTTTTCCATAGAAAAAGGAAGGTGGGGAGATCCAGATGTGCTCAGCGTTTACTCCCCTCCAGACAGAATTTTGTAGAATCAACATTCTTCCTGGTATATCAGGGAATGATCCTTCTTAATTTGTTTCCTTGTGTTCTATCATCTCGGTGCATTTCTCATAAACTCCCCGTTTTCCTTCTGAAGTGTGCGGCCGACCACATGTGAGGCATAGCTGCTAACGACGTAGCGCTTTCTTCGAATGACGGCTACGATTGTCCTCAGCAGTCCCTCCGCCGTTCAGTAATTCCGCTCCATGTTTTTGCGTGAGTTCAGGGCCAAAGAGGAAGCGCTTTAGTTTCTTTGGCACACAGCGAGACCCCGGCCTGGTCGCCCCCAAATTCAGGGAGTCAAAGTTTGCCTCTCGTGTTTCTTGTGTAAACACAGAGTTTGCTGTTTTGATATGTATTTTTTTTTCTCCCTCAGAGAGGTTCAGAGAGGAGAGAAGCAGTTTGTGGACTATGGTGGTGTGTGTGTGTGTGTGTGTGCTTCTCTCGCTGCAGTTCAGCAGAGAGAAGCCTTGAAGTGGTCTGCATGTTTCAGAAAGGAAGTCACCGGGAGTGGAGGGGGTTGGAGCATATTTCTTTTTTTTTGCAGCAGCAGTGACAAAGTGCATTCAATAAGTTAATGTGGGTTTTTCTCTTTTACTCCCCTCCGTCCCCTTTCTCTTCTTCCTCTTCTCCCCATCGCTTTAGTGTATTAGATGCAGAGATTCATTTGTTTGGGTCCAGAACATCATAAAGATCAAAAAGCCAAATTGGTCTCTTCACCCAAAGCCCTTCTGCAGGCAGTGGGTTTGTACCTGTATGTACATATTTTTAAAAATCATTTTCATGTGTTTGAATGGAGGGAGGGGGGGGGGGGGGGGGGGGGGG